GATGTAAGAAATGTCAGAGTTTACTGGTTAACTATCCTAGCACAGATGTATTTCCAAGCTATAATTCTTTCTCGTTACCTCTTCAATATCGGTTTCGGTTTTTTAAATGACCAATACACGAGATATTGTTCTACTCAGCTAAAAAACACTTCCAAATCACTTTCAGTTTCGTCAACCAATCATTGACTGCTTTTGAAGTTCCGCATGTGTTCTCAGCCCACGTCAGTCAATCTGCTTGAGTGTATTGTTGTCCATCGAGTTAATTGCATGAACAACTGCCTCAGGGGCGCAAAAATTGAGAGAACTGAGAATGCAATGGAACGGATTCAACAGTGACATTTCAAATTTTCACAGCGACATGGCAGCATTCGACGCCGAAGCGGTTTTCAAACAACAACAAGAAGCCTGTACAAAATTCTTTCGCGACAACCTCCCCAAAGATGTGCTTAAGCCAATGCCAGAGGAAGAAAAGCCCGAGAATACGAAGAGGTTCAAAGGTCCTGTCTATGATATAACAGGATTTGATGCTGAAAACGTTGTCGCACTCCTCTCTGACATTGTCAACGATAAGGAACAATTTAAGACTAACAAGACCTTTTACCTGCTGTTACGAAACAGCCATGACTCAAAGCCGGATGACGAGATAGAGGAGCTCTTCAGACTCAAAGCAAGGCCTACCAAAAACCAACCTGGCAATGGCATCGTGTTTCTACGTCCGAGAAGAAAGAAGTTGTTTACTCAAGACGCAAGAAAGTACGATGAGTTGGAAGGTGTCTTAAAGGCACATTACAAGGACGACACAAAAACATTCGCACAGGATATCAAGAACTTATTTCAAAACAACTCAGTGGTTACTGACGATTTTCCACAAGCAACCTTTGAAACCTACACGATTTTGCTTTTTGAAATTGCTCGACGTCTTGTTACGGTGGAAAAACCGAGTGAAAAGAAGGAAGAATTTGACGTCCTTCCAATTGGCAGCGCCATCGCAAGATTAGTAAAATTGCTGGATAAAGGAAAGTGCGGATTTAAAGATGTCTTTTTTCCAAAGGGAAAATTCCATCCTTTCACGGGAAAAGCCCATGAAAGGAGGAAAGCAATCCACAAGATCAACGAGACCACAGGCACGGGAACTGATCATCTCAAAGAGCTTAAAGACATGTTCCGCTCAAGTACAAAAGGGATTCATGAAGAATTTACGAAACTGAAGTTGGATGAGAAGAAATATCCGCCGATGAAGAGTTCGATCGATGTAGAAAGTAATTCAATTGAAGATTACTCGAGTGGCTCTGGGTGGACCCCTAGTACTGCGAATAAGTAACAATTTTCGAGATGACATTGTCGGATTTCTTTTTCCTTTTTTTCTTATTATCATGGATTAAGATAAGTAATTTTACAGGTCTCAGCACACAAATTTTCCTTAGCAGAATTGTTAATCTCGGGAAATTTCAAACAGCGCTTTCGGTTTCAATTCAAAGGGAAATTTCTTCGCAGCTAGATATTTGGATGTATTTGCATGCCCAGACTTGCATCCCCTCGGGTCTAGAGGTCATCACATGATTTCCTAGAAATTTCCTTCCTGTTTGCTCCTGTTGGGGGACGAGGGGGGTAGGGACGGGCGCAATAGTGGAAGAGCAAATTCCAATTTTATCTCGAGCAAACCTTAAGAAAAGTGCTGGCTAGATAATTTTTTTTGGTACTTAACAAACGGATTATATTCCTTTAACTGTTTCTTATTAGAATACGAATACTCGGTAACCAAATATATTAGCACAAGCGGTCAATAAGTGCTCACCAACTCAAACGTGGACCATGATGGTAAGCGGTATTCGGGATATTTACAGTAGATATTCTAGATGTTTACTTCTCAATTATTTTACTTACTCATCAGTCTAAAATTTTCTGGCGTTTGAGAAATGTAATTCTCCCGTTATTTTTAAATCTAGAAATGAGTATTTTTGATCGGTTAGAACCTGAATCTTAAATTTCATCTTTGTCATTGTTAACATTTTAATACATGTACTAATTTGTATTTGTAAGTGCTGGGAAAAGACTCACCTCAAATCAGGTTGCCTGCTTGAAAATATGTAAAATCTGTTTTTCTTCGATGCTGTGCAAAACAACATTGGATCAGGGCCTACAGTTTGAAGCGAAGGGTTTTCTGATGCCTCCATTTCCTGTGATAGTACAATACAATAAAGACAACAACGCTGCTTGTTTCCTCGAAATCATTATCGTGACCCACTTTATAAAACTGCCGTTTAACCAAACTAAAGTAAGACCTCGAAATTTTAGCGAATTATCGAGACTGAGAAAAGTTTTAACATAGATAGCTTAGTTTACACAAGAGCCTTACCACTCGCATTTTAAACATTAATTTTTCCGAGAACAGTTGAATTTCCTAGACATCTTTAGGAAGTTGCTAGTAAAATTTTTCGATTTTAATTGCCCAATCAAAAACAAGTAAGAACGTCCAAGAATACACCGAAGTTGTTGGGTAACGTACGCCGTTGCGCGTACCTAAAGGCCTTTGAGAAACCTTCAACATGCCTCATTTCTCTCACCAAAATGACGCCCTAGCTAGTGCGTGATACCTTAACAAAGGGTTTGTTACCGTTCCAATTTAAAACATCCTTTGAGCAAAAAAACTGTCAGTTCATTGAACACCGATCCAGTACAGCGACGTTTGACAAGACAGTGCTCAGGAACTGTTCATGTAACACACTGCAGTTGCAATCAAGACACTGCAAAATAGTCTCGGGCATTTCAGGTTCAGTGTGCGACAAAAAATCTAGAGCGTAATCTTTTGTTGATTTGGTGGGAAGTTCACGTGATAAAAGGCAGGGGAAAAACCGAAGTGATATGCAGAATGATACAGGAATATTTACCATTGTGACTGCAGCTTTACTTTTCTTGGCCTTGCCTTGATGTAGAGCGAGTTGAACAAAACGAACATTTTCCATCTAAAAGTAGGAAGGAAAAAAAATTGACATCGCTATGCGCATAGACATCGGCACAGCCAGTTAGGGTAGTAAGCAGTATTTTATAGCCGTGGTGCTAGCTGTCATCATAAACAAAATGCAAGTCACTCGGTATCTTCCGCCACACTTGATTTGGAAGAAGTATAGGAATTAATATGGGTGAAAATTGGAAAAACAGCTATAGAAGTCGCGACAACTGACATGCATTTGCCGCCATGTTGTCTTCTCTCAACAGTCCGCATCGAGGAGAAGACTGGTAATGACAATTCGTTAGAGTTACTGCATCTCAACCGAGAACGGCATCCTCTTAAACCCTTCAACTCCCATAAGTGATCAAGACAAAATTTCTCCTTACAATATCGATACAATATCAAGCAGACAGGTGATGAGAATAAAGAAAAATATCAACCAAGTGATTGTTAAATGATCCAATACCAAATTCTCCATACTGACAACAAGAAAACTGTATTGCAGACAGTAAGGAGAATTGCTAGTGAGATCTTGGGAGGAAAAGGGTTAAGAAGCAATAAAACACGACCCTCGGATTGTTAGCTGATCCAATACCAAATTCTCCATACTAGCAACATGAGAACTGTATTGCAGACAGTAAGGAGAATTTCTAATGAGATCTTGGGTATAAAAGGGTTAAGAAGCAATAAAACACGACCCTCGGCGTGCTGTCATCTCACCTTGCCTATCGTCCTTACACATCTGTTGGTGTGAAGGTTGATAACTGTTGGTAAGAAAACATTTAAATTATTATACAATGGAGCGCTTTTTGATTCAATGAATGTCGTAAAACTACGACCCCAAAGTCATCGCAAAGACCAATCAGAGCAAAGGAAATTAACGCCAGGAGCGAATCAGAATTCAGCCCCAAAACAAGCAAAACTGCGTAAAGCGCGGGAAAACGAGCGGGAAAAACGTGCGGGAAAACGCGGGTGAGTCAGTTGCGCATGACCTGTGTTTGACCGCTGGGTTGACATTGCGTTGTGTTCTTACGTAAAACGTGTCTCTCTCCACCCTGGGCTATAAACCGCTACAAAGAGTAGCTAGAAGTAGTTTAGTAGTCAGTCACAGGTTTACTGCGGGTTTTTTCTCAAAGGCTTTCCTTAATTTAGTAGGTCGGCCTTGGTCAACATGAACTTACCTTTGATTCCTAGCATTGTGGCATACAGCACGAAATATCCACTATCATCAAATACTAAATGGAAATTAAAAAAAAACAATTAATGAAATTGGAAGTTTATTACGAGAGGTAAACAAGAAAATCGTAAAATTTGACAATTCATTAACAATTAAGACCTGTTTCATTCTCCGTATTGCTCGCCGTGCAAGTGTATAGACGATCGAAAAAAATGGTTACTAAATATCAAATGATTTCATACCTACATTACAGAACCGCAAAGTATCCGTCTTTTCTAGGTCTCTCTCTGTTGCCATGCGTCTGCCAAATTCCATATCAGGAAGTTGCTGTTTTTGCTGGAAAAAAAATGCAATGAAGACTTGATATGTCAAACGCGCAACTGCCCCAAGTAGACAGTGATGGAAAAAACCAGAACTTTCCATGTTTTGCTGCTATCAATTATTCCCTAATAAAGAGGCTCACCAGTCTTTTCCAAATTTCGTACCCGCGCACGTCTCGACACAAATTGGGTACGAATCACGAACTGACTGAGTAAGAGTCGTCCGTGAGCACGAAACGACTTACAATGCCACTCGCGTGTAATGCGACTCACGTGCAATGCCACTCACGCGTAATAAGAACTACACGCGCTATATGACCGTGTTTTTCAATGCATACGGTAACTGTAAGATCGTACAGGAAACTGTGATTCAAAATACACAGTATACTAATTGTACGCTTACATTAGAAAATTAAATTTTGTTTAATTACCTGTTGCATCTCTGTAAAGACTTGCAGTGACTCGTCAAATACCCGTGTTTTCTTCCCAGTTAAAAATCTGAACACTCTTACCTTTAGAGACAAAATAAGACAAAATGATCCCGGTGAACAAAACGTCTTGGAGTCATAAGGTATACAGAGGGCAAATTGCCTTGGGTGACACTAAGTTCAAATTTATCTTTAGTTCTACGGGCTCAAACTTGAATTACAGCTGATAAACAGATCCACCTTCATATTCCTCAAGGAAGAACATAGGCTTGATTGGAGTAAAGGAGGGGTGGGTTTTTTTTTTTTTTCGGATTATGTTTAGGTCAAAATTTTGGAAGATAAATACGCTCCAGTATTATTGGCTCACTTTTATTTCATCTAGTATTCAGACAAATGCACATACCTTTCTGTCCATCGCTAGCGTGGCAAATAATTTTCCATCTGGTGAGAATGCTAAAGATATGGGAAACGTCTTGCACTGAAAAAATTAAAAAAATGTATCTTCATAAAATGGTTCCTAACAACGAACAGCTCACCTTGAAATGCAAAAAAAGCCATGCATTCACCCACATGTACATATAGAGTTCACTGAGCTTGTTACAAATTCTCTTCTCTGGCTAACCTACCAGTATGTACAGATGCTCCTTACCCTTAGCGACCAAGACAGAATTTCTCCTTACAATGTCAATACAATATCAAGCAGACAAGTGATGAGAAAAAGAAAAATATCAATAAGGGGATTATGATCCAACACTAAATTCTCCAAACTAACATTACAAGAAATGTATGGCAGACAGTAAGGAGAATTACTAATGCGATCTTGGGAGTTTAAGGGTTAAAAAATTGAGGTGAGTATGATGGAAGTGAGTTTCATGCCAAATTTGAATCACATACATGGATGCCAGAAAACCATTCATCAGTATTTTAACTATTCAGCCACAAGTTATTAACTAAAAACAACTAATTTCACATGAAATTCTGAGCTGCATCAAAGGTATTTTAGCCTACTACCAGTTTGTCTTCTCTTCCACTCCTCCACTCACCATAATAAATTCAAAGAGGTCTGTATCTGTCTTAAATTCAAAGTTGACATTTTTGGGGAACTGTACATCATGTTTGATACCAGACCAGTACTCAATCATGCCTGCCTCATCTGCTGACACAGCCACATCATAAACAGCATTGTACTGTTGAAAGAAAAAAAATATATCAAATTCCATCATTAACAAGATCCTTTTTGGAAGACAAGATGGTAGACTAAAAACATTATCCCTTTAACCCCTGAGGGTGATTGACATCTAATTTCTCCTTACAATTTTGCCCTTGAATTACAAATTAAGGTCATGAGAATAAACTAAATGACCAGCAACTAAAGAAGCTCTTGATTATTAATCAAATTCTCCTTAGAAGAACCTAGGAAATGTATACAGAATAGTATGGAGAATATGCATACTGATGTTAGGGTACAAAAGGTTAAAATACCTTGATAAATGTGATTGGTTTTGTGTGAAGATTTACTGTGTGAAGGGGTGTGCTGCTCCCTCTTCCATCATAAACATGAATCATTCCAGTCTCTTTCTCTGAGCTGAGAGAAAAATAATTCTGTAGATTTGAGACACGAAGCTAAGAATCTAAATACTTTAGGTAACTTTCGAGAACTATACCGAGAAACACCCTGTTCCTTTAGTTAGCATGCTAGGTGCGGATCAAAATGTCCATGTTTAAGCCTTGCCTGGGTTATCGAGATGCATTCTTGAGCAAGAAATTTTAGTCTCACAGTGCCTCTCTACATTTAGGAAAGAGTAATATGAAACTGTCAAGGGAATTTTCACATCTGCTCAGGGCTACCTGTAGTTAATTACCAGTTTGTATCCAAAGGAGAGGGGGAACAGTGGCATTACCCTAATTCACTTGGATCAATGTCGGTACCTGAGCAACTACCCACCCACCCCTTCCCTGACCAAACAACAGTCAACTGATAACAAGTTAGGATTGTTGAAGGTTAAGGTCAAGGTTAAGCATGCATAACAGAACAATTTTAGGATTCCATCCTCTCAAGACAGCAAGAATTACGCTGTACTTGGATGTAGGCCTTGTTGTGTGCCATCTTCCTCAGCCTTTGGCTTCAGCTGATAACACAAACATCAGCCTTGATAATCCTTGCTTTAATATTCAACCTTATTAGATAATTGTCAGTTATCATGACAGCTAATTCCGCACCATGCAACAGCAGCCACTGCAGCTCCAGGTGGGAAAATCCATTCACATCGCCCAGGTTCATAATTTAGTCTTAACATGTTGATCATATCTGAGAAAGATAAAAAAAGAATCTTCAGTTTACCATTTCATCCCTAATCATTATCTGCCATACAATTCTTATCATGTTGGTTTGTAGAAGTTGGTATTGGATCAACTAATAATCCTTGAATTGAAATTTTTCTTTATTCTCATCACTTGATATTGTCTTTAGTTGAGACCATAAGGAGAAATTCTGTCTTGGTCACTTATAGGAGCTTAAGGGTTAACTCTCTAACTCCCAAGATCTCATTAGTAATTCTCCTTACTATCTGCTCTGTAGTTCTTGCTATGTTGGTTCGGAGAATTTGGTATTAGATCAACTTATAATCCCCTAATAAGGATCAATATTTTTCTACATTCTCATCACTTGTCTGCTTGATATTGTATTGGTATTGTAAGGAGAAATTTTGCCTTGGTCACTCGTGGGAGTTAAAGAAACATAAGACTGAAGGAGAGGAAAGAAACAGAAAGGTTTTCAAACTATTTTTCAGTATAAAGTCTAAAGTTATCTATTGTACATCTGCCACAAATGGAAACAGAACAAGCGAGCAAACAACCAAAGATTTAAAGATATACTTCAGCTTTAACCATATTCCATATCATGAAGGTTCATTGGTTTCTAGGGTATTATAAAAATGAAAACAGTCCTTGCATTTCCTCTCTATAGTACTGTGGTTCACATCAAGAATATTAAAGACTTTAACTCCCAGAAGTGATCAACATGTACCTTCTTCCTATGATGATTCCCTTCATAATCGCACAAACGGGTAATGAGAATACTCAAACTAATCAGGTAAAAGTTGTTTTCTTGATTTAACACCAAATTCTTATAATAATATCACAAGGAAATGTGTAGCAGCTAGAGGGAAGAATCAACAATCAGATCTGGGAGTTAACCCTTCACACCCCAACATCAGTATGCATATTCTCCATACTGTTCTCTATACATTCCCTAGGGTGCTGACAAGGAGAATCTGTGTAACAATCAACAACTTCTTTAGCTGTTGATAATTTTCTTTACTCTCATAACCATACTGCATGATTCAGGGGTGATATTGTAAGGAGAAATTAGATATTAGTCTCTTTCAGGGGTTAAAGGGTTAAAGGTTTAATAAGCCTTTAAGATAGTTGCCTGCTAGCTTTTAGTTTTAAAATTCTGGCCACCAACAGTCGATTTTTTTAGTTACAACCTTTAGATCCAAATAAAAACAATTAGTGTATATAGCTTCTTTATGAATGATGATGTAAAGAATGTATTTTCCAAGCTCACCAAAGTTGACGACATCAAACACTTTCAGTGATTTATCCTCAGCTGTGGAACACATGATCTGTCCGTCAGCACTTGCCGCAATACAATGAATCATTCCTGTATTGAAACGCGAACGTGTATTAGAGTCTGAGTGTTAGTTCTATGGGTTTGTGATTTCTTGAGATTCAGTGGTTCCCATTTCATTGAGGTTAATGCTTTAACTCCCAAGATCAGACTGTTGATTCTCTCCTAAAGCTGTTACCCATTTCCTTGCAAATAAGTTACAAGAATTTGGTGTCAGATCAAGATTAAAACCTCTACCTGATAAGTTTGAGTATTCTCACTACCTATTTCCTCAATACTGTGTGGATATTATAGGGAGAAGTTACATATAAATCACTTTAGGGGGTTAAAGGGTTTAGTGTCCTGTCCACTAACATAGGAGGCTGGAAAACACAATTTTCGCATTTTACTCCCAGAAGTGATAAACATGTAACTTCTCCCAATAACTCTCTACTATCTCCAGCAATCAGGTAACGACAATACTTAAATTTGTCAGGTTGAAGTTGCTATCTTGATCTTATGTCACCAAATCATTGTAACCAGTTTATAAGGAAATGACATTTCCTTATAAACTGGTTACAATGTGTAGCAGCTAGATGGGAAAATCAACAATCAGATCTTGGGAGGTAGAGGATTAACAACTGGGCCATAGCATATACTGTACATGTAATACTTATGATCATGACCAACGCAACTGCTCACACAGTATCCCTAAAATCTTAATCACAAATTATTTAATACAAGTAGATCTTAGAAGATCCTGACAGTAAGCATCCATAGAGCAAAGAAAGTTCATCTGTACTGTATAGCTAAGTTGCTTATCAGAAAGAAAGGATACAAAGTTTGGGTGGAATTTAAGGATTCTGTTAGGAGGTCATCACAAGCTGTTCTCTTAAAAGTTTTCAAATTAAAAATTATAGTGCTATAACCATCTAGTTAGAAACCACACTATCTTTTACACAGCTTCAGTTCAGTTTTCAGCAGGTAGCACAAAAAAAGTATAGTTGATTACAGGGCATGAAATTGCGCCTAATACAGGCACCAATGCGACTAAATTTTTCACTTTGGCAACCAAATCCTGAAAATTAGTCGCCAAATTGGCAACTAGAATGTTTCATCATAACCTTACTTAGAGATATAGTGAATTAAAAAGATTTGCAAAGATAAATCCGTGGCAAACTTCCTCATTAAGTTTGTTTCCAAAGTGTAGCACATGCATCTCAATCATTGACTAGACTCCATCTTGGATTTAGGATATAGGTGAGCTTGAAGGTTATATATCTTCCATCCTAGTGTGCACCCTGTGGCAGGTTAAAGATCTTTTTCCTAACTTAATTTTGGAGGGCCTATCTAGAGCCCTGACAGCGCAAAAAAAGGTATTTTTTGTCTTTGAAAATGGCAACCAACTTTTTTTGAATTGGCTACCACTTTGAAGAATTTAGGAGCCAAGAGGCTATCAGAAAAAAAATTAATTTTACGCCCTGGATTAGATTAATTATATAAAGTATCTCATCTTTTCTCACCCATATGTGCTTTGAAGTGCTTCACAAATTCAACCCCATCATCTTGTCTTTTCCAAAACTTGATGTGTCCATCACAACTTGCCGTTATGAGAAAATCCGTTCTGTGAAGTGACGTCAAACATGATTAACCCTCTGACCCATTAGAGTGACTGGCATCTAATTTCTCCTTACAATATTGCCCCTAGGTTCACGGTCATTTTGATACAAAGATGTCTTGATACAAAGTCGTTTCGATACAAAGTCGTTTCGATACAAGTTGAAGTCGATTCAGCCTAGTCGCTTCATAAAATGGCTCTTTTAGGAGCTGCTGTGTCCTGCTTTCGTTGCTTTGGACTATTTCAGGTTGCTAAAAACAGCTCTTTTAGGAGCCACCACATTTGTGAAACTGGGTATTGCAACTATGTTGAACGATTGAGTTGCTTAATTAATCAAGTTGAATTTCAGCTAATTTGTTGATTAGAAAACAACAAATCACCATACATATCAAAGATGAAAACGAACACACTTATACTGAACTTTTCTCGAGTTTACTTGTGTATCAAAATGTTGATTCAATACAAACTGAAGTTCAGTTTGTATCAAATCAACTTTACATGTGTAACGAATCAACTTCCACTTGTATCAAAACAACTTTGTATCGAAATGACTTTGTATCAAAATGACCAGACACCCTTCCTGAACCACACATTAAGTCCACCAGGATTTAAAAAATGATCACCAGCTAGAAGAATCTCTTGATTGTTAAACAAATTCCCTTTAAGTACCTTATGAGATGTGTCAAGAATAGTAAGGAGAATATGTAAACTGATGTTGGGGTGTGAAGGGTCAAAATATTTTTTTTTCTAGATCGTAACCTCAATTCCAGGATAATTAAAAGCACTTACATAGTGACAAGTATATGTGAGACGACATCACGATGCATAAAGCTCCTCTCATAGGATTCAGCAGAAGGTAAGTTACACAGGTAAACTTCCTCAAACTCTAGGACTACAAAAGACAAAAAATAATTTTACAAGTGGTCATGAAGCATACACCTGACAAAGTTAGATTGTCAGAGTGAAATTCAAGATCAATTTGATAGTCCCTAAGGTAATCTATAGTTTTCTCTTTGCTTCCTTTATGTTTAATGAAGTATGTAAGAGATCTTGAATAAATAAGGCTATGGGTCTACGTTCGCAATTATAGCATCTGCGTTTCTATAGCATATTCACGCATACAAATTATTCATCTAAAAGAGCGCGAATATCCCATCGGATCATACATTACATGTACCTCTCCTTTTCTTAGCTTTAGGAGGAGGTGCTGGCATTGGACCAATCACATCTTCTTCTCCGTCTTCTCCTTCGTCGGCGCTGTCCTCTGAAGAGTCCTTAGCACGTTTTCGCGTCTCTTCGTCCGCCATTTTGGAAATGAATGAGAAATTTGATGGTCAGAGGCACATTTAACCAAAGTATGCGCGAGACGCAAAACAAGGCTCCCTGGGGATTCATCCGGTTGTTCTATTTTTATCCACACTTCACGTTAGTGGTAAGGATGCGAACTTCTGAGTGCCTTCTCTCGGCTCTTTGAACTCGGCTTGGATTTCTGTCTGCCAAACAATTTATTCCATTTACCATGAGCCGTTTATTGTAAACTCCGCGAGCGGCATAAATGCGGGGAAAAGAGAAACTGAAGTTTTTACAGACAGAGTCCGCGAGAACCACATGAAATGTATGTGAACAGTTTCAGTCGTGTTATGCTGAAGATAAATTTTGCTGCATCGTGGTCTGTAAACACGGACGATTGAATGGTTTTGAGGGAAGATGGATGCGTTAGAGAGTTCATCGACGGTATATCGCACTGAGAGCGAAGGCAGCACGACAAGCGAAGACAGAGAAGGTTCTCTACGAGCCTACTTAGAGAAGGAGTCACTAGGGCATTTAACCGCGCTGTTTCCAGACGATGTTTCGCTCAACTATTTTCAATCATTAACAGAGGACGACTTGGAGCATGATTACAACGTGAAAGATGACAAAGAAAGAGAGCTTTTAATGCATTCCATAGTGAAATTGCGAGAGGAATTTTCAGCGTACGAGGTGAGACTTCAATGACACAGACACAAATTTTGTTTTATACAAATTTGTCCTATCTCTAATTATTTGCGCGTTACTTTTGGCCAAATTTCCCGGAGTCAAGCAATTTTTGAAGTTGTAATTTTATTTTTAAAACCTCCAACTGCGTTCTCAACATATTTTTTTTTCAAAAGTTATTGTGTTGTTTTCGTCGCGAAGACATTCGCATGTTATTCAGGGCCGCTGGCATCAAAGGAAACAGTGAAAAATATAAATTACCACGAGGCACCTTTCGACTATTACACGCATCTTTTTTAACATCCAGACGTACACTTGGAGATATTTAAATTCCCCATCGATACAAAGTCTACTGTTTTTCACTGCGAGCACTTATTTTAAAATTAGTTTCGTGTGATTTTGCTTTATTTATCAATGTCGTAAGTTTGGGCCTATTTCCAAATGTCATCTTGTCCATTTGACGTGTTTCCTGAAACTAATATTATAAATATGCCACAGATTTATTTGACCGAAAGAACAGCCCTGCTCTCCTCTTGACATCTTTCGAAATCTGATGAGACACTTTTGTTGATCTGTCCGAATTCCAGTCGGACTTTTTTTCTGTATCAGTAATTTCCTGAGTCAAACGAGGGAGTGATTTCCGATGTGTACGCATTTGCTGTACATCACACCTTTGTTTTCGCTCTGTTTATGACTACCTTCTTGTGAGGTGGCTATTTTTTTCTTTCCGGATTTTCAGAATGGAGTGTGGCGCGGGCGATCGTAAAGTATCATTCCCTACTTTTTCCCTAGTTACAAGAAACTGCGAGTAATATTTGTCGTTTTACAAACAACCATCGATAGAGGCTTCATGGTACACTGATCTCTGTTGCGTGTGAAAATTATTATGCAAGGGTACTGTTTGACGGAAAAGTATATTGGTGGATTACTGAGTCTCACTCAATTTGCCTAGCGAAATGGTGTGTAAATCACTAAATGTAAAAAGTTCTTTATTATGCAAATATCGATTACGTTTATTGCATATATGATTCTCAGCAGGAATATACTTTAAGTCGTGAGATGAAACAGTATTTCACTGTTCTCTTGATCTGTAATCTAATCATTTGAATTTTCATTACCTGGGTGGTTAAAACGTTTTTTAATTGGAGGCAAAAATTTTCCCCGCGCGAACATGATCTTCGTTCATTTGTTTTTATAACCCTAAAATTCGCGTTGTGTAAATATGGCGCGAAGCATTGTTTACAAAATATATCTTCTGTTGATTTAGCAAGGTATTCGCAGAAAATTGTCTGTTAGCTTTCCTTGGCGTCCCTGCTTTAGTGGACTTTGGCTAAACTAAAATTGAGTTCAACCAAAAGCCCTTTTTCATTCAAAAAAGGCCATTAAATATATTTGACAAAAAAAATGATTACATAACTTGTACTGTAAGTTTTTCTCCGACATTTACATTTCAACGGAGGAATCAGCCACTAGATAAAGACTTAATCATAAATTCCTAGTCGATCTTTCATAGAGATCGCTTCTTCTTTCGAGGAACGTTTATGATTTATTAGGAATTTGAAATGAAGTTGTCTTCAAATTGATTGCGAAATATAGTAATTGTGGATTTCTTTAGAAACCTTTGGTAATCTGCAATTAGTACATCATTTGCATTTGTATATTCTGATGTCTTTTTTCATTCCATTAGTCAAAATCTATTAAAAGCACTGCAGCTTTAGAACAAATGTCTTTGCCACCCAACGAACTCTTTTTCTCATTTTTGTATCATTTTTGTTCTGTTCTGATGAAGTACAGTTTTTGCATGTTAATTTTTAAGCCTTGTGCAAAGCTAAGTACACAACAATTTAAATTTAATGCCAATGGAGAGATTAAAGCTTTAATCCCCAAGAGTGATTAGCTTCCAATTTCTCTCTTCAGTATTACTGTTGATCCAAACCTTAAAGACTAGAGAAGTCCCTGATTTTTGAACTAGTTCTTCTTGTTATTACCTTGTTAAATATGTAGAGAACAGAATGGAGAATGAGCATACTGATGTTATGGTGTAAAGGGCAAAAGAACAGTCCCTCTCAACCAAACTTGCCAGGACTGGCTATTTCTGAGAAACCACAAATATTTCAGAAAAGACTTCTCAAAACAAAAATAGACTGAGTACAAATGTTTTCTTCAAATGTTGAGTGACTATAATTTAATGGCTTTTAAGGGTTATTCCTAAAAGGCTAGTGCTCTTTTGCTGCTTAAAAATCCAGGTTTTATGAGCTTCAAGTGTTAAAGAACAGTTCCTCTCAACAAAACTTGCCAGGGCTGGTTATTTCTGAGAAACCACAAATCTTTCAGAAAAGACTGCTCAAAGCAAAAATAGACTGAGTACGAATGTGTTCTTCAAATTGGAATATCTTTGGTAAGGTAGTTGTGTTCATGATTTTATCCTTGAAATGTTGATTGACTATAATTTAATGGCTCCTTAAGAGTTATTCTTAAAAGGGTAGAACTCTTTTGCTGCCTAAAAATCCAGGTTTTATGTTCTTCAAGTGAATCAATTTGGGCAGAGTGTTTTGTTTGTAACCAAGGAATTTGTAGAAATGATATTGAATTTTGGGCTCCCTTCATGAATCTGCAAGATATCAAGATATAGTTTTAATTAAAACGCAATGAATATTTAAGTACACATATTTAGATAAGAATTTGTGACTGTGAAAGGCAAAACAGACACTAACAGTTATCCATTCGAAGGGGTAAACCGTTTGTTATCCGTTCTTCATCCGTTCTCATGCCTAAAAAAATCCATTCAAAGTGTTCAACAAACTGTTTGAATGGCTTGCATATCCGTTCGAAATACATTAGCATTTTTTTGTTGCATGTTGATTAGAAAGGCTGGAAAACTTGTTTATTTTTTTCATTTTTTAACTTTTTTGAATAGCAAGCTACCATGCTGTACTCCATACAGATCATTTTTTTATCAAAAAATTTTCTGAGCCATGGAAGAGAAATTTGGATTTACTTTTAGTGTAGCACCTGCTTGGTTATTGTACAATTCTGATTAAATTTTATTTTTTGTACCGAGCAATTACCTGGTATGTTGGACACTCATTTACACATATAAACTACTAAGCTAGAGGTTTTGATTGATAAATTTTTCACTGGCAAATTACTTTTTGATTATTAAGTGTCCAAGTAGGCAACACTGTTTATGTAAATTATATATTTTTTTACAGTCTGACTCGGAGCTTGATAACAGCGCAGAGTTGAATGCAGAAGTTTTTTCATCACTGCCAAGAAATTTCAGGCTTAATCGATCAAGACTCTCAGATGACTTTGCAGAAACAAGATCCAAAAGGAGAGAGAGTTTTGGTTTTCCATCTGCACGGCTTGACGAGACATCAAACTTGATCCGCATGAGGGCTAATCCTTCATTAGGGAGTTCAGAGCCAAACCTCTCAGGCAGTTGTGTAAGTTGAATTCAACTGAAATACATCTTTTGTAACCTAATTTTCCTTCTTCCTTTTTTTTATTAAATAACAACACAAAAGGATTTGGGAAAGGGTTTTTTATGTGGTGGGAATAACTTTTTTGACATTTGTTTGTATTCTGATTGCAGTTTTTTTTAAATTTTTTTTTTTTTCAGTGATAAAGCATAAGTATATGAATATTTTTTATTTCAATTTATTATTTTTAGGTTTTTGTTCTTTTGTTTTTTGTAAATAGTGAGCTTGACTTCATTAAATAGAAAATTTGTTTCCACTTGTATGAACATCATCATCAGGTACTCATTTGCCTACAGATGGTTTTTTCATTCAGACTTTTCTCAGTCAGATATCGCTAAGGGTTTAGGGTTTTGGCTACTTTACAATTGCCGACAAGCTTTCAATCACTTGATATTAGAATATGCCAGAAAATTCTGTTGTAATTGCAGTCAAGTGTTGTTACTACATACAAGGTGCAGCTGTTGATGAAGACATTTGATATCAACTTTGATTGTGATCCCAGTTTTCCATAAATCTTGGGTTATAGTAGCCTTTTACGCTTAAGATTAAGTTGTATCAGTTCTCCTTTTTTACCAACCATATATTTTCTTCAACATTATTATATTTGTGTGAAATTTTATTGTTACACTGTATATATCAAGAATGTGCAAAATGGCATCAGATATATAAGAACTCTCTAGCTTTTAGTAGCAGAACTCTCTGGCTTAATTTTAATGGCCTGGACAACTTTACCCCCTTGAAGATGAGAAACGTCAAATTGACCTTAAGGATCAAGAGTTTTCTGACCCTATTCCAATCACGTCTTGTTTTGGCATTGCGCAAACAAAAGACATCTTTTCTTTCTTGTCAATAAATAATTTTGTCTCATATTTTTCATGCTGTTTGCTCCTGACATAAATATTGATTCTCCATACTGTCTGTCATCCATTTCTGTAATTCAAGCTCTGAGAAGTTGATTTGTAAATTGTAAAACATTCACTTCTTGATAATTTTATTTCCTCTTGTTACTGTTCTGCTTGAAAGTGTATTGATAGTGTAAGAAGAAATTTCCTTTTGATCACCCAAAGGAAGGATTGAGCTAACTCCTGTGGTGAGAAATGTCATCCAATTAATCTCTTGTTTATTTTGTACATTTTCAGAGTGACATAAGCCGGAGACCAAGGTATGACTTCCACATAGATATTAATTCAATTCATTTGTAGTCCAATAGCAGCAAACAACAAATGAATTTTAAAAAGACAAGACATGCATACACATGGATTTCTCTTATTTTCTAGGTTTGTTCAAATTTTGCAGTAAGGTTTTTGGACAGATTGTGTAGTTTTATCAACATCCTGTTGTGTGCAGATAATTTTAAAGAGTGCCTTTTATTACGCTGATGTATATTTGCTTGTGACGTAAGAAATCACGTGATTTTCCAATGATCTCAAGCTCACCAGACATTATTTTACAAGCATTGTTCAAATTATGTAGGTTTTTTTTCCAGGAGCAAGGGGAAATAGTTTTCTTCTTCTTTGCATCAATGTGCTGTAAAATTTATGTGCAAAAGCAACTTGTCTGTGTTAGATTTCGTGTCAAGTAGGCTTAATGTGTATTGGATCCATTTAGCTATCATTTCCTCTCAAATGTATTTCTCATTTACATTTACCAGGTGACTCATATAGACGAATAGTAGGAATTATGTAGGCACTCTCCTGGGACACATTTCTTTTTATTGGGCAATCATGCTTGTTAGATGAGATAATTCTATGCTGCTTTTCTTGGTCATTTTTTTTTAAAGTGCAATTTACATACATGTTCATAAATTTTAAAAGCTACAGTATTTATATGTACATGTCTGTCTGTCTTTTTTGCCCGAAGCACTTTTGAAAATTAAGTTTTTTAGTGGCCAAATCCACATTGGTCTGAAGAGGGCTTTGTTATTGTGTAAAACCTTTCTGACCAGTGGTTATTGTCAAAGTGTTTTAATTGATCTTTTATCAAGTATCAGGTTTGGTGTCATATGTTAATTTTGATCAAAGTGAAACTGAATTGTGATGTTAGCAAATTGCTGAATGGAATATCTATTGTCCAGAGAGATTCTTTGTATTTCATTTCTTTGGGGTTTTGTATATTATTTTAGCTTGATGAAGCAGCTTTTTTAAAGAATCATTGTCTTCATAAATTTCTTTGTAATTGCATTCTATATTCTGTCAAAATTTTGAAACTGAAAAACGTATCTAGCAATATGATGGAAAACTGCATGGCTATCTCTGGAAGGTCAGTGGTTTAATTTCTTAGATCTGTTTTTCCTATATTGTGACATAATGAACAGTATATGATAAGCTTTGTAAGGATGGAAAGGCAGATGTTTGTAAAGGCTGGTAAATATTGTTTTCAATCTTTAGCCAGCACATTTGGATCACATTTCATTTTATTACATTGAAAACTGAACATGTAACATATAACATTATTGAACTTGTACAGTGCTATGTATTGCATTTTTGTAAATAGAAAATTATTACTAACAGAATAATCACATGTTTCATTGTTCATGTAATATGCTGAATTGGAATATTGATCACACTTCAGGATGTGAAAGGCACATTTTTCACTTTTTAATTTTGAATGAAAATGAGACAGTATTCTTTAAAGACACCTCATGTAACAAACATCGTGCCACATAACTTTCTGATTGAACAAATGTATCCATCAAATGGACATGAGCAAGAGAAGCCTGAAATTATATACAATTTATAAGTATGTTATGGTTTAAAATTTCCTTTGTGAATTTTTGAACCAGCTTTATTATTGATGTTTGCATTCATTTTAATGTCGCACAAATTTTTTTCCTTGCCAACCAAAAAGACGAGAAAAATGTTAACTTTGAGACATATCAAATTTTTTTCAAATCTATTGTTCTAAACAAAGGCTCAGCTGTCTTTCAATGTATGGGCCTGTATATTCAAAATAGTTCTCAATCTGTAAATGTGTGTTGCTTGGTAATTGCTTGATAATTTAAAGTGATTCTTTGTTTCAAACAAAGGTTAAAATTGATGAGGTATTGTACTGTGGTGAATTTTACATAATTGAATAATTGGTATTGTAGGGGCAATTATCTCGTAATATCTCCAATCTATTCTGCTATTTTCATGATGGTCAAAAACATCATTACAATTTCTCTGCACTCAGATTTTTTTTCTCCTTTCAAATAATTTTTTTTGCCTCGTTTCACTGCTTCAACAAGGAATTTTCTCTTCTGAATTTTGAACCCTAAGTTTGCTTAGCATTGCAGTGGCAATTGCAATTATTATGGGTTTCTTTTTGATTAGATAACAATAAAAATTTTTACGTACCAGACTTGACGTCTATACTCCAATTCTTCTTTTGAATTTCTTTGTGTACAATTTTTCTCAAGATAATATGCGAATGTGCTCATTGCACAATTTTCTTGATATCATACTGGGTCTTAAACACTTCATTTTTTTCATAAATATGTTGAATAGGTTGTTATTAATTCCAAATCAAAGTTAAGTGATCATGGTGTCTGATTGTTACCTTTCAAAGTAATTTCATCGGTGGTTGATTATGTTATCACAACTTGAGGCTTTGTTCAATATTATCTTGTAAATTTTGAAGGATTAGTTGAATTTTAATTAAATTTTGAGGCAAAATAATATATTTAGATTTTTCCATTAAACAACAAAATTGTTATTTATCAAAAGACAAATTATTGTGGCAGAAATGTGTAGCAGGAAGATAGAAGTATTTGTGATTTGAAATTTCTGCTTTCTGAAGAAAAAGAAAATGGTCCGGACAGATAAATAAAGTGTGGTTTATTGTTATTATTTGAGGCCTTAAATGGATTAGGCATTGTTTCAAATGCCTGGAAGTCTAGATACATGTAATATTTATCAGAAAATTGCTATTTCTGAAAGTCATCAATGTTTTCAGTCCTGGAATTGCATATTTAGGCCAAATATTTATTTTCTCACATTTGATGAGAAGATTTTATTAGTGAAGTGATTCCATAGAAATGTGTCATATCTGTGCAAGTTTTTGTTGTGCTCTGGCTGATAACTGTATGAAATAATTGTGTCTTTTGAGACAAGTTATTTAATCAACATGTGTCCTGACAAATTGCAAATACCTTTGTGAGTATGGTGCACTTTGACTTCTGCTGTAAATACACATATATATGGTTGCAATTAGGAAAGCTACATTTTTATTGATATTCATTCGTTTGGTAGATGAATATATAATATGTTATGTGGAGTTTAAATTTAAACATCTTCATGAGGCAAAACTGTTAAGTTGCATTACATTGTTTGGAAACCAGTCAGAGAATTCCCTGGTATGTTAACATCAGTGTTTTGTTTTGTTTTGTTTTTTTTTTAGCTCCTTCAATGCTGGATCTCGCAAAGCTGGTAGAAGTTACACCACAGCAAGCTCCATGCCATCCACAAACTCTGGCAGACCATACTCGCCATTTTCATCATCATTTACTCATGGTAAGTGCCGACATCATGCCATTGTTTGGGGACTAACCTAAGATGTACTCAAATGTCATTCAAGAGGCGTATCAGTACTCATAGTCTCTTTGGACAAACTTAACCCTTTAAGTCCCACTAGTGACTTAGACAGAATTTTTCCTTACATTATCAGTATGATATCATGCAGACAGGTAATGAGAATAAAGAAAAATATCAATTAAGGGATTATTGGTTGATCCAATTCCATATTCTCCAAACTATCATCACATAAATTGTATGGCAGACTGTAGGGAGAATTACTCATGAAATCTTGGGAGTTAAAGGTTAAAGTTGTCTGCAGACTTCACCTTTTCCTGCAGTGTACCATCCAATCCAAGCACATGATAACTTAGAAGTGGTGATTTTGATACACTGGATATTTTTGCTTTGTTTTTTTTGTAGGTTCTGACAGCCCTGTTGGCAGTCCTAGCTTTCATACGTCTTCCAGCAATACCTCCTCAGGAGCACATTTTGCATTTTCAAATATCAGAAAGTAAGCAACATGTTTTTGTGGATCATTGGAAAGATTTCAAATCATTAAATTGTAGAAGAGGCTCAAATTTTTGTCTAGTTGAGGTGGTGCTTTCTGACACAACATCCAATCCTCCCAGTGTTTCACAAGGAAATACAAGAAAATTTGAATAGAGAATTTAGCTGTTTATCAGATGTCAGTTGGAGTGTTTCCCATTCTCCCCTCAATTGTTCGGCCAACTTGGCCGAGAAAGACTAAGTGAAAATTTCAGCAACATGGAAGTATGTTTACTGGGCAACCAGAGAAAGTGGCTTGGCTGCTAGTAAAAAAATAGCGGCCTGTGACTTTTTACATACATATGCTGTACGTACATATAATTTATTAATATGTGAGTTCATACTTAGCTAAGTAGCTATTTTTCAAGTAAACTCACAAATCATACAAGTAGGTAAATAATTAACTACATGTATAAATAAAACAATTACAATTGATTTTGTTTAATATTTTTATATTTGCTGTGCTGTTACTCCAACAGAGACATGGCTGGAAGGCGCTGGTCTGTTGCGTCATTGACATCATCATCAGGATATGGAACACACACTCCTTGTTCGTCGTCGTACTCTGTAAGTATTACAATTCAGTAATTGCTTACTACAGTAACAAAGCCATCGCAATTTCCAGCAGCCTCAGATTTTACTCACAGTCTATTACTGGGAATTCTTATGTTAATAGAGAAACATGCTCCAGAAACCATTTAGAAGTAAAAACCCTCCCCTCATGGGGACTCAGAATTTTTTCTTTGTCCCACGCTTGTGACAAGATGAAAAAACATCTTTCTTAATTCTTTACCGAGCTCAAAACTTACCATCTCTACTATTTCTATCTTAAAAAACATTCCGCTATCGACATTGCTGATCCTAGCAGTATGCAGGACGTGTGTCATTTGAACTTCATAATAGACCTTGCTCACCGTAGAGTCTCTGTGCTCAGTGACAGAGCATCGGAGTGCAAATCCAAAGGTCTGAGGTTCAATTCCTCATGGCGACTCTGAATTTTTTTTTTGTCCAACGCTCGTGACAAGATGAGAAAACATCTTTCTTAGTAAATTAATTGTTTTACATGATTTGAGATTTCATTGTGTAACCCGCTATCTGTTAGTGCCATCAAAGAAAAATAATGTTAGCCACACAAATTATAAATTACCTATTGTAGAAATTTATTATTTGTGTAAACATGTGGGACGTGCATGTAGTTTTTGCTGATTTTTGCATTAAACATTTTACTTTATTTTATAGTCACTGGCTTCGTCACAAGAAAAACTTCATCAGGTGGGTACTACTGCTAAATTCCATTTTATTAATTTTATTTCCATTTCAACATTTTATTGTATTAAGCCTTTAACTCCCAGAAGTAGTTAAAACGCTTCTTCTCTCTGTAATATCCGTACCATATACAGCAAAGGACAATGAGAATACTCAAACTTATCAGGTACAGGTTGTTATCTTGATCTGACACCAAATTCTCATAACTAAGTTACAGAGAAATGGGTAGCAGCTAGATATGAGAATTAGCAATTATATCTTGGGAGTTTAAGGGTTAATATGAATTTCTATATTGTCACAGTTGCAGATAGGATTGCCGTATAGTGATGAGTACAACTTTGGAGCACACTTTAGGTAACTTAGGAGTGATAAGCTTCTAATTTCTCCTCACAGAATCACTGCTGAATCAAAAAATAAGGTCATGAGAAAGAAAGGAAATGATCTCCAACATATAAAGCTCGTGAATGTCAGACAACTTCTCCTCGTCAGTGCCATATGAGATGTATAGAGAACAGTTTGGAGAATGTGCATACTGATGTCAGGATCTAAAGACTATGTTTTTTCAGCTCGATTTTGAACTCTTGATATTTCTAAATAAAACAAAATTTATACAATCTATATATTTAAAAGAAAAAAACTATTGTGTCATTATTATCTGAGGCCAATGATCTTGGAACGGGCTTCTGTAGAATATCTAGCGAAGACTCAGAACACTTTCGTGGAAATTGACAAATTTTAATTTTTTTTTTCTGAAGTGCTGACAGCGACCAGGAAGAGGATACTGGAGGTCGCAGATCACCCAAACCACGACAAAGGTCACGAAGTCTGAGGTGGGTAACCTGTGTTCTTTTTTATTTAGATGAAAATGAATGTCCTTTGAAATTTGAAAGATCTAGGGTCGTGTTGGGACTCAAGACGTTTGATATCTTTCGATTACCTTTTTGGAGAATTAAATCGTTTATCGGAGGAAAGCTCCTTGCGCGTGTCGAAATCCGATTCTCGATTTGCAATCCTTGCTACTTTTGAGAATCGAGGATTGAGTTGAGAGTGAATGTTAGGAGAAGTTACAATTTAATCACTACAGATATGTGTTGTTTTTTGCAGTCCTGGAAGATCTCCCCTCATCCATGAAGATGAACTGCAGCTTTTGAATAATCTGTATAGAGAGCGATTTCCTAAGGTGAGGTTATTGTTACAAGTCAGCTAATGGCTTTGTAGTATTGATTAAAGTTATATCATTTGTCATTGTTTTATCACTTCCGTTGTGGATTGCAACGCCTCGACTGCACACTGCAACATGTAGTCTTCTCCGTGCGATGATGTCGACTTGATATGCGTCACCTCGTGTAGTAACAAGCTGATTGGCTGGATTTCAATAGCTATGATTGGTGCATCACGGGGATGTGTTCCCGCGGAGGTTGTCCATCAAATGGCTTTCCTGTTGTTGTTTTTGAAAAGAGCACATCATGAGACAAACTTAAATACTTTTGTATTCACCACGATGAATGAACACAAACCCTTTTTCATGATGCCTTGCTGTTGTGGTAACTCACCGTCATCTGATGTTTCAATTGATATATATTTACTCCTCTTTGTACAATTTTTCTTTTACAGGCCATAACACAAATGGAAGAGAATCTTAGTGTAAGTGCGGTCATTTTATGGCCCATTTATTTTGTTTTGTTTTGTTTTGTTTTTTTTCCGCGGTTTAGAGCGCCGCTCCCTTTTTGATGGTTTGTTTGATTGTTGTTGTTTTTTTTCTAGGAGCTGATAGAAGAATTCGCAGAAGAGGGAACACTGAACCATCATAGCTGCGACGCAGTTTTAAACTTCGTCTGGAATCAGGTATAATTTTGCTGCCGTTTTATTCCATGTATTTCGAAGGTGTAGGATACACGGGCAGCGATGTGGACTCAGACTCCGACTCCGAAATCAAAGGCTCATTTTCAGGCTCTGGTCGTTTCATTGTGTTGTGTTCTTGAGCAAAACACTTAACTATCAATGTCTCTCTCCACCCAGGGTATAAATGGGCACCAGTAAAATGTTGGCGTCGGGAGGGGTGGGTGCGAGCTATTTATACAGTCCCTTGCGAGCGGGAATTCACGCGATAGAGTGAAGTCCCACCATGTGTCTGCTCCCTCGCGCGGTTCTCTCGCGGTCCTCGTTGTAATCTAATGGATCTCAAACTTCGTTTCAGGTTCTTGAAGCAGCTCGTGATCTTCTTAAACAGTCCCAGGATAGTGCTCTCACAAGTTTGTACTTTTATGACCTGTCTGATAAGCTAGAGCGGCTGCTTATCGAGGTAGGCCATCGTTTCAGATATGTTTGAACATTATCTCATCATTCGCATTTTCGTTATCGGCATTGACATCGACATCATCATCTGTGTTATTCTCGTTGTTGTTGCAGTCTTTGTTTGTGTAAGACTTCATGTGTTCATATAACTTAACGTCCATGTTTTCTTTCAGGCCCATCAGAAGACAAACTTGGATATTTCCCCAGTGAAGAGACTTGTGAGGAAGTTGCTTATGATCATGTCAAGACCAGCTCGGCTATTGGAATGTCTGGTAAATTAATTTAATTTTCTTTTGTAAATAAGCCACTAAACAAACGATGCAGAGAAAGAAATGGCAACGGAAGGAAATAATTTCTGACGGATTAGCAGATTGACAGAAAGAATGGTAGTTAGACAGTCAGACAGACAGACAGACCGACAGACGGTGAGACAGGCAGGCAAACAGAGAGACACAGAGAAAAAGGCAGACAGTCTGAAGTACAGATAGAGTAACAGATAAGCAGACAGACAGACATATAGTGAGACAATCTGACCGAAACACGAACAGACAGACAGTCAAACAAACAGACAGTTAGAGTGTTTTGATCCTGATAATTTTAATGTGAGAACATTTCGGACACATCTCTTAAGAAGGTTTACTCTCTTCTGATTAGAATCTTCGCTTGCATTTTAGGAATTTAGCCCTGAAAATTTCTACAACCTACTTGAAGAAGAAGGACGAGAGCTGGAGAGGGTCACCGACAAGGCAGATATCACTAGCTACGTGAAACTCAAGTTAGGACTGGGACAAGCTGAAGATAACCGACCGGACTCGCCAGAGGACCCAGAACCTGAGTCACCATTGGTAAGAATCTCCATCTTCCTCTTTCATTTTAAATGAACTGAAGTTCATCATTCTTTGATTCGTAAGCTCTTTCCTTCCTCCTCGTCATCCTGTGTTGGGCTCTTTCAGTTCAATTTGTTCCCTCTCTGTAGGTGTCTTCTTCCTTCTCTTGTTCTGATTAACCCAATCAGTCGGTTTTCTGGCACTTTCTCTATTGAAGTAGTCCTGTGTCGTTGTGGTAAATCTATTTAGGTGTATTGTTATTTTGGATACAGTGCACTAATCTCCATTTGTATGATTTCATTCTTGTTAGAAATCTGCCAGTCCTAACTCGACAGTAGGAGAAATGCCAACAGAGGAAGACTTTGAAATCATCAAACTCATAAGCAACGGTGCTTACGGGTAAGACCACAACACCGGAAACTACGTTCTCTATCTACTCTTTGCGAGAAGTGCGTGGGTTCTGTAACGTCCCTGCTAGCCAGAACAGAGAAGATGCAGAAGACGGAGCTTGCGGTTTATCGTTCTAATCCGAAAAGACAAGGATGTGTAACCATTTGTAGATGTCAAAGCAAAGGCAGCGTATTCTACCCAGTTATTTTAAGACCCTGGGTGTTGGTCCGGTCTCGACCTTGAACCCACGTCCTTCTACAGGGCAGACCGGCAATCGACAACCTAAGCCCACCCTGCCCCCATATTTATCCACCTCATGCACCGATAGGTTTTCCTTTGCATCAGGTTGGTTGGTACTGTAGGAAGGGGAGAGCTAATAAATGCGGCGATGATTGTTTGACTCAATATTTTTTCTTCTTGAATTACAGTGCTGTTTACCTAGTACGACACAAACAGACTCAAATGAGATTTGCGATGAAGAAGATGAACAAGCAACTTATGCTGCACAGAAATCAAGTGCAACAAGTGTTCGCAGAAAGAGACATTCTGACCTTCGCCGAGAATCCGTTTGTGGTTGGAATGTGGTGCAGTTTTGAGACGAAGAAACATCTTTGTATGGTGTTGGAATATGTGGAGGGAGGAGATTGCGCATCGCTTTTGAAAAACAGCGGACCGCTTCCAATGGATCTCGCCAGGTAAACGGCTTTTCAGTAATTCTCTAAAAGGGTAAAACAAAAAAAAAAATAGCGATTTTTTTAACCGAGTGTGGAAAGTACTTCCAGATTTTATCGGTTTTGCTTCATCTGGCTCAATGATTGGTCTAGAAAACGTGCGTCATCCTCTCAACCAATGAAATGCAAGGGTAAAATCAATTGCGACTTTTTTGTTAAACTTGCAAAGAATGCGAAACTTAAAGTTCTGAGGGAATTGAATATGCTGGCCTTATTCAAGTAGAACTGCACGAACCATACCCTAACGATTACACAAAAAATCCAGTTACTTAGTGACTTTGTGTTTTTTTTTTATTATCAGAGCCTACGTAGCTGAGACCTTATTAGCCGTGGAGTATTTGCACAGTTATGGCGTCATTCATCGGGATCTTAAACCTGACAAGTAAGTGTTGATAAAAATGTCTCTGTTCATTTATTCTTTAGTTCGTTCTTTCATTTCGCGGGAAAGTCTGAGACCTTAAGCAATGCTAGCTGGCCAAAGGTCGATAAGGTATCTAGTGCCAGACCTCGGCAAAGCCCCGACCCGTTCCGAATCTTCCCGCGGACGGAGAAACGCGCTTGCTTCCAATTTTTCACCCTTGTCTTTATCTATGCACGCATTTATCTTTTTTTTTCATCTTTTATTTGTTGTCTGAATTTGACTTCCTTTGTGATTTTTTTTCTCTCCAGTCTTTTAATAACATCACTGGGTCATATAAAACTCACAGACTTTGGATTATCTAAGATTGGACTTATGAACAGTAAGTACTCGTTTTTTTTCATTTGTTTTCATTGTACTGTTTCGCGTTTCTAGGGCTTTATTTGGAACCCTTTTGATCCGGAACCCTTTTGATCCAGAGTCCTTTGTACCCCATATCAGTTTGCATAATCTCCATACTGTTCTCTATACTTCTCTGAAGGTGCTGATAAAGAGAATTTGTGTAACAATCAAGAGCCTCTTGAATTCGCGATCATTTCTCTTATTCTCGTGACCGTTATGTTTGATTCAGGGGTGATATTGTAAGGAGAAATTAGATGCTAATCACTCTAAGGGATCGAAAGGTTAATCAACGGCGTCTCCCATTCTTTCTTCGCTGATATTCTCTCGTATTTCTCCTCTAGGCACCACACATATGTATGAACACTCACTCGCTCAAGAGACAAAACAGTTCATGGACCAGCAAGTTTTCGGTACCCCGGATTATCTGGCGCCTGAGGTCATTCTCAGGCAAGGCTATGGCAAGCCTGTGGATTGGTGGTCCTTAGGGATCATCCTCTACGAGTTCCTTATTGGAGTACCCCCCTTCTATGGTGACACGCCCGAGGAGTTGTTCGCTGATACTTTGAGCGGTGAGTGAGAAAAAAAGTCACAATTTCACATTGGAATATGGTGTAGATCTTTTCCGCGTACAAAATTGCTCCCTAGGTAACCAACTAATCTAGCCCAAGAGTGATTTTTCGGAAGTTTTCGTCTAAATTCGGATGATTCCGTCCGATTTCCTATGGTTTCGTTCAAACTCGGACGGTTCCGTCGGCATTCGGACGGCTCTGTCTGATTTTGCACGGTCTTTCTGTTTTTCGGATAGTTCCGTTCGACTTCGGAAGGCTTCGTCAGGTTTGGGATGTTCCGTGCGTTTTCGGACGATTCCTTCCGTCTTCGGACGTTTCCAGCCGGAGAGGAGATTTATCTCTGATTAGATTTTTATAGTCTTTTCCTCCTCATCATTACAGGTGTCATTGAATGGCCAGGAGAAGACGAGGCCCCTCCGGAAGACGCTCGGGATCTGGTAACGAAATTACTAGAACAGGATCCTATAGCACGTCTGGGCACTGCAGGTAAGTGGTCGTGGGGTCGATTTTATGTACCATAATACCTTTGTCTTACATTTACCTTTTTAAATCGTGAGCTTTCAGCTGTAGCGCATATTTGTCGAACTCTACGCAAGTAGAGACTGTGAATTATCTTATATTTGCACTCTTGTTTTTGTCTGTGTCACTGTTCATAGCCTATAAACAATTTTTACATCAGTGACGTCTTCCGCCCATTGTTCGGCAAATCTCCTTTGAAATTCCCAACGAGTTTCCGAATAATTTTCGTCTGATCTGAAATAGTACAAGTTACCCAAACATTTCGTCGGTTGCGTCTCCTATCAGGGATTGTAAGAATTTCGTCTAAAATATCCTTGACGTTTCTCGTGTAGCCCTTTCATGATGTATTTTCTGGAATGTTTTTTCTCTCTGTTCAGGTTCACACGAGGTGAGGGAGCACAATTTCTTTTTGGGCTTAAATTGGACGGCGTTGCTGAGACAGAAAGCTGAATTTATACCTCAACTTGATGGCGAGGACGACACAAGCTACTTCGATAGTAAGTCAGACACAACGTTCTTGATGAGTAATTTTCAAATGTCGTCGGAAATGTGATTGTTTAAGAAAACTTGCACCAGCCTCTCGATTTCTCAAATGTAAACATAAAGCTCCCAGTTTGCTCGAATGTGCCCTACAACCCCTGAAATGCTATCGTGACAAGATTCCAATCATTCCGCTCCTTGTTTCAGCTCGCACGGACCGCTACAATCATGAGTTGGAAACAGATGACGACGAAGAAGATGACGAAGAATTCAGCAGCTTTTCAAACGAGTTCAGTAACTTCTCTACATGTTCCCCCCGGTATTCCCGCATTTGCGGGTCACCGGTCCCATCCCCGGTTACTTCTCCGGGTCCTTCGTCCCCCGTATCCCCTAACAACCCTAAGAAGGCTTCAGACGCGAAAGACTCGGGTGAAGAAGTGTCGACTCCCCGAAGCGACCTGAGCTCGGAAAGTTCCCCACCGACTGTCCGAAAGAGGAGTCTGGAACGGAACCCGCCACTTAACGTTGAGAGCCGAGACAATGACGAAGATTTCCAAAGGCAACGAAGTGATAGCGGCGTTGATAGCGATCGTCCTCGCAGTCGAACGAATTCGAAAAATAAGTAAGCTATTTTTTTGGTTCTTTTTATGCCTTTTTCTCCACGAGTAAACAAAGCAATAATTCAAGAGATTAGTTTTTTGATATGGTGATTTTAAGCTTAACTGTAGCGATCATTCTCACATTTTTTTTCAGTTCTTTAACCCCTGTGGAACGAGATGTCAGCCCATTTTCCCCACTAACCCCTCCCACCGTCCGATTAAGGAAGAAAGCGTACTCAGATTTGGCCCCAGTACCTATCCCGCTGCTGTCATTATCGGCTGACGAGGAAAGCCCGACCAAACCCTCCGCAGCCGGCCTCACTGTGGAGACTGAGACCGCGGACAAATATCGGATTCAGCGAACCAATTCTCTCCCGGGCGAGGGAGGCAGAAGACTTTCATCTGTACCCAAATTAGAGCTCTCGTGTAAGTTTAACTTAATCAGTTCTCTCCAGTTACTTATGTATTTCTCTAAAGAGCCTTAGGTTTGCTCCATCCTTCTCGTGATTTTGTTTCACGCGCTTTTCCTCATTTTCGACAGTATCCGACGATGAATATCGCGCTTTAAGCCAACACATACGAAGCCCTCCGGGTTCGCCTCTGTCCCGAACTCCCCCTCGTTCTCCGACCAGTCGCCGAAGAGCCAAGACACTGTCGCTCTGTCTTCGTCCGCCAATCATAATCGAGAAAGGACCTCGTGGATATGGATTCACTTTACAGGCTATTCGTGTGTACTTCGGAGATACGAACTACTACAAAGTCCATCACCTTGTGTCGGTAAGTTGGTGATGTAATCGAGCAATGTCTCGTTGTGAAAGATTTGTTTGTTCTCATAACCTCCCTTATGGAAGAGTGACATTTGGATGGATAGATTGAAAGAGCGAACCTTGTAATGATGATTTTTCCAATGTTCTCTCTTTGGAAGAGTGTTAAGGAAGCATCAGACATTAAAATGTTTTAATTTTTGAGTGAAAAGCCGAGTGACGAAACATTTGTGACTGTAAGTGTTTCAAGTTTAATAGAGCAGCTTTGCTCAAAGAACGGAGCAGTTGCTGAAGTTTCAGGTGGAGAGTTTCGCATGGCCAACAAGCCATTGTTTTTTAACCTTCTCTTACGACTTAGACGCGACTCTAGTTTTGATAGGAATTTTATTTTTCTGTGTTTGTAGAATGTGGACCATGGCAGTGCTGCTTTTGAGTCCGGTCTTAGGCCTGGCGACTTGTTGACCCACGTGAACGATGAGGTAATTTTCGTGCGAATGCTTTATTTTGATGTAACTGGTACAAATGCTACAGAGACTCTAATTGAGACTCGAGTTTTGCAAGGAATTGTAATATTAGGGCCATTTATCGAGGAAAGGTAGCCGCGATTGTCAATAAAAGGCCAACTTGCCTTGGATACCATTTATTTGATCGCTTTAGAGGCAGAGGACAGCGATCAACTTTACTGGCAGTGCAGATGTGAACCAAATCTACGAGAACTCTGTCTATCATTTAAGCAGTATTCTTGTAAATGGTCGCGTTCGCGGGATTTATTTTTTCTTAGCTTTCTCGTTCCAAGGGCCCCTTAATAGCTTTGTCACGAAACGCTTACAGAGTTGCGTTACGCGGTCACAGCGGCCATCAGGAAAGAGCCGCGTTGTGTTACTACTAGTTAATTGTTTGAACTGCAATGTTTTTATTGATAAAGTCTTTAACTGTTTTTGTTACTTCTTCGTCGGTTGAAACTCGGTATTGCAACAGAAGCTTTATTGCTCAAGTGATCTTGACGTAAGTGGATGATGCATTTTACTGGGAAAAGAGTCGCATGCGAGCTTCTGTGGTCTACAGCCGTATACCACAATAGCTCTCTATCAGTATAGCAGGGCAAATCAACATCAATCTCTGTAGACAACGGCAACAGTTGCTCTTGGATGACCGAGTCCTTAGATACATTCTGAACGCAATCTAGAACATCCTGGAAGCATATAATTAAAGTACTCTGGTAGAATTGCATCATAATTACATAACCTACTAGAATGTTTTTAGTTGAAGGTTCCATGATATGACATCAGAACGTTGGAGCATTCACGTTGCCGTGAATAGACATTATAAGAATTTCCATTTTACAGTCACGTCCCATAATGCATCATGCTATTTTATTCGCAGTCGGTGATGGGGCTCAGTCATCGCCAAGTCATTGAGCTTATCCTTGGTGGTGGAACGAAAGTGAAACTCAGTGCTACGGAACTCGCCAAGACATCCATCAAAAGAGGAGGTCGGAAAAGGGTGCTGTCGGCCAGTAAACAAGTCCGAAAGAAGCTTCCTATCAAACGCGGAAGAAAAGGAACTGCTTCTCAAAACCTTCCTTCTCCTGGTTCCGAAACGGCAGATAAACATCCGAAACAAAAACCGTTCTGGAAGCGGTTTGGCCGTCGAGCAAGTCTGTCGCCAGGAAGCAGCCTTCGGAGAACAAGTTCACTGAAGCGAGTGGTGTCGTCACCAGACTCCCCTCGGCCGGCCTCACCCAAACTCACCTCACACTCGTTTGATTTTCGGGCGTTGTCGGATCAGTCGTCATCTTCTGTCGGTAGTAGTCCTGCATCGTCACCAAGTTCGCCTTGCGCGCATGGCCTAGGACGACCAGGTCAGTGCAAAAAAATTTTTTTTTAGGTCAATGAGAAATTGAGCTTTTTAAATTCGCAAGGCCAGTTGTATTTATTGGGGCGTGATGGGCAAAGGACTCTGGATCTAAAGGTCCGGCCTCGACCTTTGGATGGTGTCACTGTTCTCTCTTTGAGAGATAAATCAGTTTTGTTTCAGTAACCAGATGGAACAACTTGGTCGCCAAATTGTCCGATTTGAACAACTCTTCGCCATAATGCGAAATATGACAGGGCGAGGATTTCAAGAAGTTTTTTGGCAACACCGTAAACCGGGCTAAGTCCTGGAGGATTTTTTAGCCACTCACGTACATGTAAGCAACCTAACCTAATCTTTTCTCTTCTGTTAGGAACTCTACAAGGAATTATTCCAAAGCTGCGAGCGGTTCGTTCTCCAAGAAGAAAATCATCAGCGCACGTTCCCGTGTCACCCCTAGCAAGGACACCTTCGCCAACCTCAGTCTCCCCCTCTCATTCTCACGCTCATGGACACCAGCCTCGTAGCACGTCCCCTTTGACCCTTCGGGGGTCCCCTGCGTCACCACATCTGGCTACAATTACGCCCCAGACCTCCCCGAGGCCTGGGTCGCCTTTATTAAGACGCGCCTTATCTCCGGATCATTTTCATCTCAGCAAACACGATAAAAAGACTGAATTTCGCCGCAAGACATCTCGTGATGAGAGATCTCTCGGGAGACAAGACAGTTTTGAGCGAAAAGGACGCCATCACCGCAGACATGATACAGTATACCAAGCTGTGCGTTGTGTTGTCGAACACGAAAGTCCCCTCGAACGTCCGCGAAGTGTTAGCTTAAACGAAACAAAAAGTCCAAATAAACTGGAACTTAAATGCGAGCTACGAAGACATTCCGAACAGCCACCGAAAATATTGTCAAATCTTAAGCTTGAACCAAGAGGCAATTCAGGAGAAAAGCTAGATGAAACAGATTTGGATACGAGGTTTTGACGGCTGGCCGTTAATTACCAAGAATCGAACAATGGTGAGCTTCGATGGATCTCCTCGACTGGTTGGAGCAATTTTCTGTGGTTTATCTGTCGTATTCCGAAATTGCAATGGTTTTATTTCACTTTACTCTGTGATTGGTTGAAAAAAAAACTCGTGCCAACCTCTCAACCAGTCAGATGCAAAAAACCTGAATCAACTGCACCGTGGTCAAGTTCAATTTTCCGCGCTTAAGTTATTTTGGGTTCGGTTCACGACAAAAAAGTTCTCAATACCAAAAGACAGACTGCCCTGTAGATACTGTAAATACCTGTAAATAACTGAGATATGTACATAGATACAAAGACAGATACATTATGTCAATTAGTTAGCTTAGATGTTTTATTGTGTATGAGGTGACCAAAGTCTTGTTTCGTACACGTAACAACGTGGACAAATTGATAGGTACATTGTAAAACTTTTGAGAAGCAGTCCTGCGAAAGGGGGTCACATACTCTTTCGTCAGAATTTGCATTCGTACCTTAGATGAAAATGTCGCGGTTTCGGCGTCATGGGCTTTTCAAGGTTGTAACTAACAATCCGGGAAGTTCAACCTCATCCTCGTTGCTTTTTGGTTTCTCAAGTAAATTATTGACATTTTTCTATATTGCTAAATGAATATGTTTGTGTTTTCCTTCACATTGAAGGTTATTTTACGTAGCACAACAGACGACGAGCAATTTTTAGTTGAGTGTCGAAAGGGATTCGGGATTGCTTTGTCTCTGGTTGACTCCGCTGTATGATTGGTTCAGAATATTCGCCCCACTCTCTTAACCAATCAGATAACATACTGAATCCTACCGCGACCACGTCACTTGTGTTTTCTCGTGCCTCAGGAAGTTTGCTTGTTTTTACTCTGTTCTTATCGTTTCTTAGTGATATTTTTCTTTATCCTGATTGAACACAGAGTGCTTGAGTGGTTTTTTGTTTTCGACACTCAATCGAAGAGCGCTTAAACATTAAACAAGTAATTCATTTACCTTTAGATTACAGTGAAAACTCTCAGAGAAGAACCAGGATTTTCAAATTTTAAGTTTCCACAACGAATTAAGGTTAATAGCTTGTTGGATACGTCGTTGTTTGGTAGGAAAAAGATGGTTGTTCCAGGTTACTGCGATTCAAATTTACATCGACTGTTTCCAGGTTCTTATTTTTGAGTTTATTCCAACTGGACAATCCCGGTTTGATGTATAAGAGTTCGAAAGTTCTCGAAGAGTTTTGGAACAAACTCATTATTTTGTGTAACTAGTATCAGGTGAAACAAGAGAGTTTAGAGGGAATTGGCGTTTGCGAGAAAAGTATCGTTACCGAATGAATAATGTGAGAGCGTCTTTGTGAAAGTTTGAAGATTTGTGCCTGAAGCATGCATGTGTGGTATATGGAGTATGTGCGTTTGAGTTTGCGTGTTTACGCTTCGTTTTCGCTTGTGTACGTATATTTTTGTCCAATCACATAGATTTGTGATAACCGTGCGAGGGAAGCTGGTTTTCTCTCGAGTGCCATAGCAATACAAATTCTTTCCAACCTCTCGTCGAGTTGCGCGTCCAGTGGCATTGGCGTGGTAGATTGTGATATTAGGGGCTGGAAAAGACACTTATTTAATTTTCATTGAATGATTCTGAATGGTGTAAATGATAATAAGTGTAATGAGTGATAATTATGAAAAAGTGGAAATAAACGAAGTATAACGTATTTTGCTGAAGCTTTCTGGCCACTTACTGAAACATCGTGTGGGGCTTAAGCCCACTGGAAAACCATGGTACATTCTGTGATGTTTTAATATTCCTCGGGGTAATAATTATTTACTTATATTTTGGTGCAGGTAGCTAACTAGAGAGCCGTGAGATATTCCATAACGGTTAAGTATTCCTCGGGTAATAATTATTTACATATATTTTGGGGCATGTAGCTAACTGGATATCCGTGGAACATTCCGTGATGTCTAAGTACCACAAGTGGGTAACGATCATTAACAAAACCTTTGGGGCATCATGGGACATTCCGTGATGTCCGAATATCATTAACATAACTTTTGGGGCATGTAACTAACTGGGTATTCGTGGGACGTTCCGTGATGTCTTTAAATTACTCGGGGGTAACGATCATTAACACAAATTAAGGGGCATGTAGCTAACTGAATATCCGTCGGATGTTCCGTGATGTCTAAATACTACTCAGGAACGATCATCAAAATAAATTTAGGGACACATCGCAACCGGATATCCGTGGGACATTCGGACATCGGTAATGTTTCACTCTTGCTTAACAAAGTGCGGGAAATTTGTTTAAAACTTTCAATAATGGTTTCTAGTGACGAAAGTTGACAAACTTTTACATTGTCACAGTCTTGACGCTTCCTGTTCTGAAGTTTCATTGTTTTTCTTAATTGACTTTTCAATGAAGAATATTGAAGATATTTTCAAGTAGGTGATAAAAACGATCTCTTATACAAAGACTTGCACGATTTCCTCGTAATCCCATCGTTACACATTCGGGGGAACTCGAACTGAAAACTGGGCGGCGATTTCGAACCGATTTAAGTTCCTCCCGTGTTGAGACCATTTACAAACATCTAGTACACCGAAATATTGCTATTAATAGAACCTTAGGCCTTGGTGTTTGTTTCGTCACTGAGTGCTTTATTCTCTCTATGTAAACACGTTTGAATATCAATTGTAGTTAACATGACTTAAAAGCAATTCTCGGCTGTGTGTCATTTGTTTAAATACACCACACGGCTTGTTTTGACATTATGTATAAAATGGATGACAGGATCGCCAAAATAACTCAAACACTAAGGTACTTAGACGGTTTTCAGTAATTTTTTTCTCTTTTTTTTTTTTGTATAAAAGTTTCACAGTCTGTCTGCTTCGAAAAAAAGATCCATCTTGCAGCGGGGAAATTTCGTCCTTGAAAAAGTGCCAGCGACGGTTTTCTTTTTGTTTGTGTTTTTCTTCCTTTTTTCCTTTCTTTTGGGAAACAAAACAGTTTAATTACGTTCAAGTATAAAAACAATTGTTGCGTTTCTATTCCTTTCTAAATATATCGTCTATTGTTATTTCCTGGTCTTCTTTGCGCAAATATCTACAGTTGGACAAATCATTCCAATCTTCGGCCGACTTTTCCTTCTGAGCAACTCTCTCTTCCCTCAGGGGGGAAAGCCCAGTCCCTCGGGATACTTTCCGTACCCGACCATGAGCGACACTCAATCTACGACCTCCGAGATAATCTGGGAGCGCATCGAATACGACCTCAGCATCGTGCGGGTCATGTCTCCCGGGGGGAACCCCCATCGGACTGTCTTCTCGAGTTCCCACATTAAGGATCCCCTTTTTCTGCCAGGGAAGACTCCGCTTTCTCAGTTCGCTTTGGTTTCCCGATGGAAATTCTTCGAAAATGCTCGGATTCGTTCGTATAGAAATTCTACCTCCCTCCGGTTTTTGTTGTATTTGTGAAATTCTCCGGTCTGAGCTTGGTATGCTCGAATCAACTGTTCTGATATCAGTGTTTGTTACAAATCGACCGCGAAATGCATCGTTTGTCGACCTCCTTCGCTCGCCTCGTTGTTGCTCCCTGGGAGAATATTTCGAAGGAAATGCGTTTTCAGCGCCGATTCGACTCGAGAAGACTGTTTCATTCAGTGTGCGTGAAGGAAAGCCATCTTTTTTCCATACGCTAGCCTCTTGTACTTCTGTCGTTCTCTCTTCTTTTCGTTCTTCTAACACTTTCTCTGCACTTTGCCCATCAATTAAATCGTCTTTAGCCCTCTTGCTGTATTGCGTGTGTGAACTAGGAGGATGGGTTCCACTCCTTCGCCTAGCCACATCGACATCACCGACATCTCTCCTTTCTTCAGAAGGAACTGTATCAATTGTCGTCCTTCCCGGGCGTCTTTGAGGTTGCTCAATCAATGACGGAACATACTGTGTGTGATTTCCACCTTTGGATACTTGCAGTTCGCGTTGTAACCCGTGCAGAATTTCCTTTAACTCGCGAGTTTCATTCCTAATGCGTTTGTTAGATATCTTATATGAAGTATCGATCGCTTGTAACTTCAGCTTCAGTTCGTTGTCTGTCTGCGAAATCTGCGAAACCCGCGTGGTGGACGCGAGAATGTTTCGTTCTTCTACAGATCGCGAAATCTTCCTGTGATCTCTGCTCATTGTGTTTTTCTTTCAATTTAGTTAAGTCTTTTTACAATTATATGCCACTAATACATCTCACAACACAAGAGCCAAAACTTTTCAAGTTTTGAGTAAACTGTGGCTTCCTGCGTAACTATATAACAAGTCTGGGTAAAGAGAATTTGAAGTTTCGTCAGCAGACTTACTCTCATTACTTAAGAAGAGATATGAATTTTATAGGTCGTGTGTAAAAACGGAAAGATTCTAAATAGCTCAATAAATTTGTCCCCAAAGGTGTGTCTTTGACGTTTCCAAACGTTTCTCATATAATTTTTTTCTGGTAAAATTCCCAAAGTTGCATACTGCAGCACTCTATTTTGAAGCGAACGATAGGAAATATTTTGAGACGGAGAAAAATATATATTTTCAAAAACTTGAAAAATTATCCCTTCTCTTATAGCCGTATATTCAAAGACATGATTCCCAACGAAGAGTTTTCAAGAACTTTTAGTTTATGAAGCAAATATTCTAAGAAATGTCCTTAACGACCATTTTTGATCACGTCACAAACTTGTCTTAACAGTTCACTGCCAAGGAATTCAAGTAAACAGTTTACAGAATTTTTAGAATATCTTTGTAGAAACGAGAGCTTTGATAGCTGAAGAATTAGAACCGAGATATTTTAAATGGCGAAAGAAGTCTTGATACGTTGTTTCCTTCGCAGAAAGAAGACGTGCTTATGGTAATAAATTCTAACTCTTAAGTACTTCGTGTTTAATTTATCTATTTTTATCTTTTGTACAAAACATGACTTAAGCAAGGTTTTAGATAAATTCTATTGACTTTAATGAAACTTTGTTTACACCAAGATTTAGGACTCACGCTATGGCTAAAATTAACATAAGACAGCATAGGTAAAGCGCATTTTTTGACTGACAGTCATTCGTCATTAAAGTGATCACAAAAGCCAGAACAAAGAAGAATCGAAAAAAAAACAAGTTATAAAGTAAACTCAAAACACGCAAACTTTTTAAGCGCGGAAAAACGAGAGAAACCAGATTGGTTTTAGTTTCCTATCTAATTATTTATGAGGGTGGCGTGAGTTTTCTGCACCAATTGCAATCACATGGGCACGTGAAAAAGCAAGACCAAGGTAGTCCCAGATTACTTTCAATGCCAAATAGCCCTATTCTCACGCAGTAGTTGATGTAAATGATAGTTCACTTTCGAACACAATTTTTCAGTGACTCTTTAGTCGCCCTATCAAGATCAAGCCATCCCTCGAGAGCTTTTGTGTTGTATCGAGCACAAGTTAGCTACATATTACACACAAATGAGTGTCGATGAGTAGTGCGCGAAACCCGTCAGGGGAAGAGGTGAGTGGCCATTTTGCACGACCGCGACAAAATTCCATCAAGGAAAAAGTAGAAACTATTTTCATGACATTTTCCATTATTTTGGGATGGATATGTCAGAGAGATGTTTTTCAATTTCAAATGAGTGTTGTATTATAATCTTAAGCAAAGTAAATAGGTTTGAAATAAACGAAAGTATCGATCATTTCTTGAAAATGCTTTTCACGACTGAGAAGAAAAAGGAAAATTTGTTTTAGAATATAATTACTCTAGCCAAGTTTGCCGGGGTACAGATAATTATTCAACGAATGACAACGCGTTTCTGATTTAATGCGATATGTCTTAGGTATTTCCATCGTTATATCGTGGCGGCGCGCTCTAAAACTACAACAACAAGTTTATTACCATCAGCTCACTTTCTTTACATTGGTGTGAAATATTATTTTCATTGAGCCAATTGGAAGGCTGGTTAGGGTCTGAGACTTTGACCTTTAAATTCTTGTACAAACATGATGCAAATATCAGTAGCTTTTCGTCTTGAGGAGGATAACAAATTAAACAGACGGAAATCACGCGTAAGCTGCTTTTGTGGACTAAGTCATTGACAACAGGTCTAAACTGATATCGAAAACAGATTTCAGTTGAGGAAGTTGAGTGGTGCATTCACATCGGATTTTTTTAGTGAGAATTTCTTCATCAGCGTGAAGATTAGTTTGTATATAAAATGACTGACCTAGGGCCGCCAAGAATTCATTCTGTCGTAGCAGCACGAAGCACCGCTCTAAAGATCAAAGAACTGTCATCGAGTCTTCTCTCTGAGAAGAAAAAAATAAACGACGAGGGAGCGTTTGCAGTCACGTATTGCGATGATCCATCAAACCAGGTACAGAAACTAGTTCAGCCCAGCAGAGAGGAGCCTCCGGGAAGGCGGCGATCTGCTACAACGCACACGGCTTCGGCAAATGATCATGAACACTATGTTGGAGGAACAGACGTGAGTGCCGCCTATCGTTTTTTAGATCCAGAAGAAGGCGGAAGTCGAAGACAAAGATCGAACACAGTGACGACGATTGGATTCAATGAAGCAGCTTCGTCAGATTCGGAGTCTGTAAAGATACCACATTTCCGATCGGGGGATGGTGCGTATCGAAGGAGAAGATACACAAGATCAAGAAGGGCATCCGTAACTACTCAATCCAGCGGACAAGAACGAATCCCGGAGCATGGAACTCTAGAGAATTCTTTTCGCACAGAGCCAGAGAAGATGTTTGAACACTGGAAAGTTACAGAGATCATCAAGAAAACTTTTGAAGAAAACTTGCTTGAGGAACACGAGGAACACGATGATCGCCGCAATTATCAAAAAATGTGCAAAATCCTTGCAGACTTGATCAAAGAACAGGTTAAACATTTGGAGTTTTCCAGGCATAAAATCATCTGTATTGTATCCATAGGTCAGAAGAGAGGGGAGAGCGTGCGTCTGGTGAGCAGATGTGTTTGGGATCCGAGACATGACAGCTATGCTCAATATTATTTTGAAAAAGGAGACCTGTTCGCCTTTGGTGTAGTGTATGGTGTGTATTACGAGTAACAGAGACACTTAGCAAACAACTGAACGTGTAAAGAAAAAATTCAAAATGGTCGCCTCATGGCAGATGGTATGTTTGAAAACCTAATATCGTCTAGAAGAAAGAATCTTGTTGATGGGGTGTGGCAAACAATTCGACAAGCGTCTTTGCTTTGTTTAAAATCTGACAAGTCGCAATGCAAAACAGTGTACACGTAGTTTATCGATGCAATTGAAATGTTGAAGAGAAAGGTAAACAACTCTGCTTGCGTCTGTTTTGACGTAACTGTAGGCCCCTTCCTGGATACACCGCAGTAAAACATATGCGCATGTGCAAACGTTGAAAAGCCTTTAAAGTGGCATAAGTTAAATAGAGGCCTTGCATTGTGCTATAAGGCTGTGAATCCAAATTGTTTCACTGGAGCTGTTAGAAAACGACCACACCAGCTAATAATTTAGAAGATCATAACTTTTCTAGTGAAGCCGAAACTTAGTTAGATACCTTTTGCGCTCGAAAAGTCTCATCCTTCTCTACTTTCAATTGTTTCATTCTCAGCTTTCTCTCATAGTTTCGCGTACGTGATAGAAATTTCAAATTAATTGGTCCAATTTTTGGCCAAAGACAAAGGCATGACGAGTTCCGACGTCGACTGGACGGCGTCGGTTGCAGTTAATGCACGCGAAGTGTCCAGAATGGTTCCTTTCATCATAAATCATATTCCATGTTTTCACTAACAAATATTCCCTTACGTTTATCAGTTTTAAGATAAATTTGGTAAGTAATTAAGTGGGTGAATCTTCGGAAAGATTCTGCTCATCAATTAATAGATGAGTTCAACAAGTAAATTCCCAATTATGTGCCAAATTTCGACATATTTGCTTATCATAAACTTGGCTTTCATGTTCATGCAACCGTTTAGTCTTGTGACGTCTAGTCAAAATACAAAATTTCAAATTTATCACAATGCTTAAGTTTTTTCCTAACAGTGGAGATAGTTCTCTGTTCAGCAAGAATCAGTATATTCATCTTTCTGCCCCGTTTTAAAACCACTTATCTCTGTGAGCATCGATTTAAAACCGTCAAGAGCTTTCGATTATTCCGCTTACCAACGGTGACGTTGATTACCACTAAAGCTGTGTGTGTTTATAGATTAAGAATGATTATAAGGTTTGAAAAGTTGTTTTTTAATTAATTTAAGATCGCTTTGAACAGTACATCGACATCCAAATACTTTGTAGATAAATTCTTAACAATCAAAAAACTTGTCTAATTAAATGCGTCGAAACAGTTTCATTTTTACTATGCGCCATTAGAGCGTAAATCCCCGCCGTATGCCCTTATTTCTAAATATAAACTACCTATGTTGATTCTCCTTTTTAATAACATTCACCCAATAGAGTCGAAAGGATTACAAAGCCAAAACTCAAATGTACCAAACATAAAAATTTAGTTAAGTCGAATTTCACAAGCTTCTTAATTAATATTGTTATGCTACAATTGATTTGTCGCAAATGACAGATGAAATATTATATTCTCATTTATTGACGGCGCACTTATGTTAGCAAATTATTATGTGGAGTGATTGATTTATAAAGATCTTGTGACAAGAGAGATGGCATTGATAAATGCTTGAGATTTAGGTCTACAAACAGTCAGGAATTAGTTGTCACTTTACCCGAAGTCGAGGTACAGCATGCAACGTCCTCTACGAAAATTAAACCCGGAGTTCACACAAAAATACTGAGTACTGATATCAGTAAATGACTTCACTGTTATGTTCAATACGAGGCTTTTTACTCGTAATAAATACCGTAAACTGTTCCAACAGCAAAGAATTTTTCTCTCTCAAAACACGCGCTAACACACGTATCGAAGTGGCTATTCCACAGACAGCGACTTGCCACTCTGACTCCTTGGGACTCTTTTGTTCCAAGGGTAATCATACAAACAATCTTGTATCGCTCAATGTTCAGCTGTTTTACGTTTTCCAGTATCCGAGCAGTCAGCAACTTGACGAGAAACGGCGTGTGATGAGCACTGTATGTATGGGAGTCTAAAGTATCCAAAGCTTCTTGAATCACCACCCGAACCTTTCCTTCAGGAAAACGAATCTTTGGCTCCAATCGGTACGTATTCTCGAAGGTTTTCTTCAATTTTTCATCCGTTGGTTTTGTTTCAACAGCTGGCTTCTTGAAATTGGAGAAGAAAGACGCGGCAGATATACGTCTTGACAGTCCAGTAATCTTTCGCGAAAGGTTGCTTTCTTGGGAGACTTTGCGAACGCTTTGCTCGCTTTCCACGGAAGGACTTCGTTGACTTCCAATCTTCTCTACAGAACTCTCGAATAAAACCGCATTGGATTCGGTTTCTTCCGACAGAGTGCGACTAGAATGGCTTTGCCTTCTGCCAGAGGAACTACCTTCGTTCATTTTCACAAAGTTTGCGTGTCTTGCTAAGTTTGATCAACGAAGCCTGACTGTTTCTACAACACTGAGGCATTAGCTTATTCAAATAGTTCTCTGGCGCACGGGCTCAATTACCAAAAGAACAATTATAAGTGGGGTAATAATCTCGCCATAAACAATAGATTTTAAAAGCTTGGATGAGCATGTTTTAATTTTGCGGCACAAAAGCAAAGCTTACTCACTTTACAAGGTTTTCTTGTTAAAAAAAAGTTCTCAAACCGCCGGAAACTTAAATCCTCGAATTAGGTCTGAGTCATCTGATTACGTCTCAGGAAAAATTATAATATAAAACTAATTCCAAAAAAAAAAAACTGAAAACTTGCAAACATGCAATAATATCACTGAAACACAGACCAATTTACCTACTAAATAAAAAAGACTGCGACTGTATTTTTTTGTAAATAATTTATCATTCTGTTGATAAAGTACTTCAGTTTAAACTGAAAGATTTTTCTTTGTTCTTTGTAATGACAAGAGCGAAAGAACTTGAAAAAGCCACAGACAAAAATTGTGAATCCAAAAACCTCCTGAAAATAACGCGCAGGTGCGAGCAGTTGATGCATAAATCTCTAATATTGATATTTCGTCAAAGCAGTACCTTGCAATAAACTGAGTTCTTTTTGGGTCTCGCAGATTCTCAAACCAGATTATTCGGCGCTTAACGAGTCTCAACCTCTGCCACTGATTCGTCGATCATTCTGGCCGATTATCTGTTAAAAGATTGTGCGTGTAAACCATACACAATTCTCTGGTAAGTTTTAATAGCTAGTCCAATTATCGGTTGACAAAAATAAACTGACCTCCGACTCAAGAGATCGATCTGCCCGTATAAGTTATCCTAGGAGTTTTTAGTACACTGTGGAAGAATTGTAGAGACGTAACACCGAATTCACAGTAAAAGCTATTAAGAAAACGTAAGATCGTCAGGTTAGAGAATTGAAAGATAACTTGAAAGATAATTGATCCCATCCGAGAGCAACGTATTTCCTACCGGATTAATCCTAATAAACTCTTTGGAATCTCGAAATCTAACCACATGATGTTTTGTTAACCTAATGCCCGATCTTTTATCTCACGCCAGTGCTATTTTAGAGTCTGTTTTGTCTAATCCAGTGACAAGATAAGTAATTTCACTTTCTCACTGGCGCAATTCTCCTCACAGCGTATCAGTTGCTTCAGTGGAGTTGGCTGACGTCTCTGAGAATAAAAATGAACGCTAACGTATTTAAACGATGCACGGAGTCGGTCCTAGACGGTAAAGTATTTCAGAATGAAGGATATCGACCACAAACTGCAGTATTGAATTTCTCTAGCAACGGTTGCCACAATTGTTATCAGTTTCTAAACACGGGATGAAAATTCTCCAAAAGAAGAATAAATGCTATTCAAAATAAACACCATAAACTGTTCCCACCGCGAAAAATTCTTGTCTTTCAAAGCAAACACTGACAAATGTATCAAACTGATCGTCCCACAGGCACCGACTTGCTATTCTTAAATCCTGAGATCCTTTCGTTCCAATGGTAACCAGACAAACAAACTTGTAGCGCTCAATGTTCAACTGCTTTACACTTTCTAGTATACGAGTGGTCAGTAACTTAGCAATAAACGGCGAATGGGTGGCGCTGTATGAATGTGACTTTAAGGTATCCAAAGCTTCTGTGATAATTGCACGAACGGTTCCTTCAGGGAGTCGAATCTTCGGTTCAAGGCGGTAAGTATTCTCCATCAACCTCCTTCTCTGTTCCTTTACAGCACTCGTTTCCGTTGGTTTCTTCCAGCTGCTGAAATATGACGCAGCAGAAATTCGTCGTCCAGTAACTGAAATCTTTCGACTTTCCTCTTGGGTAGAGATTTTCCGGTCGCTTTTCGTGCTCTCTCCTGAAATGCGACGCTGTTTGCTTGAACCCACAGAGATCTGGCTTTGAACCTCGCTTTCCTCCAACAGGGCTTGGCTTAAATAACTACGACCTTGGCGTCCGCCTACAGGACCAAAATCATCCATTGTAAAAAATGTCCGCGTTCTTACACAATCTGCTTTTCCGGTAAGAGAGTTTTACAGGTTGTTAGGGGATGTTCTCGCGCGCGAAATGTCATCACTTACAAGAAGAACTATTTGCTTTACGTAATCTGAAACAGATAAATGATGAGATTAGGGACTCAATGATTAATTTATCTTTTTCAGATAAGCGGAAGACTAAATAAAAACCACATTGCATTTGACCCAAATTATACCGTCCTTCCGTTTGACTGGCTAAGTTTAAGAAGTTTATCTTCATACGTACGTCTCCTGTTGACCTTTCGTGAAATCAAGCATGAACACTTAGAGTCTTTTGAATTTAGCTGGACTCCAAATTTTGACCAAATATAACGGTACTAAGACCAAAATAATTTTTTGCTTACAACCAGTGTCTTAATCGTTTTAGCATCTTTGAGGAAGATCAAAGATCAAAGATTTCAGCATAAACGAACGAGGGGAGATTATTTTACTCATTTCATGCCTCCACTGTACATGGATCTAAAAACCGCACCTAATAACTGTTGTCATAACAGTTTTCGCAAAACAAATGCATGCCAACTCCCAAGATTTTCCGGATCAATATCAGTATCTGGGCAGCTGCACACCTACCCCTCCCTCAACTCAACAACAGTCAATTGATAATAACGTCGGGTTAGGGGAGGGGTAGGTGGGCAGTTGCCCAGATACTGATATTGATCCGATTTTCCTCGTCTCGCAAGTTCCAACAACTTATCTTATCGCTAGACCTCGTTAAAATGTCGAACATATCCCGAAGATGTTGTCGGTCTCGAACCTCGAGCCCAGCCGGTCACTTTCGGCAAAATGTAGAAGTGTCGCTTTTAATTTGAATATGCGATATAAATTGGAACAAAAGACATGGATATTAATTTATGAAATAACGAGGATAGAATTATATTACATTCATGGATGATAATTTGTAAATATTTATTCGCGGCCTTTGGTGTCTGATTTTAAAATTATAAATCCCTAAATTTGTGTCAATTCTGAAGAGGTTATTGTGAAAAAACGGAAACAAATAACTATAATAATAAAGAAAATTTTAATGGTGTCATATTTTTGATAGTGGTTTTTTTTCTAACCATGCTTTCATATTTTCGTAATTCGCTCAACGACCCGCTAAGCTTTATGTAACAAAAATTAATTTGCTGTATTCTTTTTGGTTTACATTTCCCTGAAAAGAACAGCGAGGATAATTAGCCATTTGTTTAGCTGCTCGTCTGTGGATCCTAAGAGGTGGAAATAGACACTGTTGCCCAGAAACTAGATTTTAGAAATACTTTTTGTCAAATTCTGGATGATGGCTATCGGTCAAATATTGCGTATAATATTTTGTTATTTTTACTTTTCTCAGTGTTTTGTGAAATTGAATAAAATTTGTTTTGGAAAATTTGAAATTAGGAGCTAAAATTGAACAATGAGCTGATAGTAGATTAACACCTTCTAAAAATTAGTCGTAAAAACTGTAAAAACCGATAAAGAAAGGCAATGTAGGATTTCCCTTCCGTAAATGGCTCGTTAAACTTTCTAAGAGTCCTACATATGTTGATGAAATTTTCCTGTTTGAATTTTTTAGACGCAAGAATTCAGGCTCTGGCCCAACGGTAGGAAATAAATGGCGCGGAGTCTTTGCCTCTATGATAGAAACTTCATATATTGAGATATTGTCAAAACAATTAAATGTTACAAATATCTTTAATAGTATTTTGGAAAATTATTTTGAACAAACCATGCATTTATGATCGCAAAATTTTATTTCGAAATGTGCGCTGGACGCCAGCCAGACATTTCAAGAGATCACGTTCGCATTTAGCTCCCCATGACACAAAAATAAAACTGCGGAACCGAATTGTGGCGTTTCAAATCAACTTGTTAATTGTTAAAGTTGAAAGCAGGTGATCTAATTAGTTAACCACACATATACAGCCATAATCCTCTCCACAAATTGTTCTGAAAATTTAAGTTTAATTTAGAGAGTTGGAAAATGCCTTCGAGAAGATGGCAAAAAAAATACCAACTAGGGCAGTAATGTTTTGATTATTTAAACTGCAGAAATCATAACAACTGGAAAAAAAAGATACTTTTGTCATCTATTGGCAAAGAATGAAAATGTCTAAACTGGTGATGTACCATATTGTTTTCAATAAATGATTTATATTTTGTTGCAGCATACATAATTTTTCTTCTTTCTCGTGTCCCGATCTATACACAGGAAATAACGTACTGCGCAGATTTTGAGTGATGAACAATTTATTCCAAATTTAAGAGTTTTCTCCTGAGCACTTCCCTTAATGATCAAACCACCAATGATATTTAACAAATATGACATTTTGAAATCCATAATGCCCGCTCACCTGCTGTTTTGTAACAATTTTGTGAATAACATTCTGCCCTCAAAGAGCTCAGAGCTCACGAGTTTCTTCAACTGATTTGCATGCATATGCAATTTAGTTTGACGAAGTAGAGTGACCCTTCTAAGTAGATAAACGATAAATAAGTAAATATACTCTATTAGGTTCAGGCAAGAAAATTATTACTTAGGAAACTCAAACCCACTTGGAGATTTGGCGGAATAACAAAACATCATTTACACTTTTACGATTTTTAATAGGGTTCATGTTAATATTCGTGCACGTTTATGCGAATTCGAAATTCAACCTAGCACGGCAAAAATTATTACTGCTGTCGATATGAATCATGCAGCATTGAAAAAAAAAGCTATTTGTGTTTTATGACCTTTAGTTAGAAAATTTTTACGCTGTTTCTTTACTTTTATTTACACAACATATGTACAAAGTGTCTCAGCAACTAGCGACCGTTGTCGGCTCCAGCATTCTTGCAGGTATTCCAATGGTTGCCTGGTTCGTTTTCCGCGACTGAGCAATTGCGGCCACTTTTGCCGAGGTTTTAAACAATCCTCTCGACCTTGGTGCTGGACTCATGCCAGTGATAGTGCTGTTATTTGCCGAGCTGTCTGAGGTTTTCTCCAGAGAACATCGGCCGGCCAGAAGGTTTTTCATGATGTCTTTAAAAGCACGGCGATATTGTTTGTTCAACGCACCGTAGATCACAGGATTATTGGCGTGATTGCAAAATACTAGTATCATGGACAAAATGTCGATCCAAAGTGGGATTTTAAAGCTGGGTTGGACCATTTCAATTAAATTTATTATAGCAGCTGGTATGAAACAAATTAGGTAAGCACCGATGACCACAGCGAGAGTCTTTGTGATGCGTACCTCCTCTACGTTAACAGAAGGTGCATGTGTAGTCATTGATGTCAATTGTCGCGAATGTTCCCGGACCTGCTTGTAAACTTTAAAGCAACAGAAACCAATTATCCCGATAGGCAGAGGAACAGCAACGAAAAGGAGCGTCGTAGAAAAAACGACTGAGCGACTGAAGAAAAAGATACATAGACATTTTCCGGATTGGAATTCAAATTTTGACCATCCTAGCAAAGGTCCGATGGCAAATGGCAGTGGTATGCACCAGATACATGCAATCATTAATGCCTGATTCCTCGCATTAAAAACTCTGCGATAGTAATTCTGTCTTACCACCATATAGTAGCGGTTGATGCTTATTGCAGTGAGACTGTACATGGACGAAATGACAAACTCTGTTGTCATAAACCCGTTTAATTGACACAGCTCTTCCGCGAAGATCCATTTTCCATAACTAATCACAGATACAAGCATAAATAGCAGATTTGTCGATTCCAAAGTGTCTGCAAAAGCTAAACTTGCGATGAGAGCACGGCCTTTCGTACGAACTCTGTTACCTTTCGTACTAATAAAGACAACCATTAAATTTCCAAAGATTCCGATCAATATAACGATTGTGAGAGGTAAGGATGTAATGACAACTGAAGCCGTTGTCCACTGCGAAACCATCTTTTGCTTCTGCTGGCGTGTACTATTAAACACAATTTAATCGTACAGGAACGAATTTTTTCGAACTTTGTCACAATCCTTGGGGGTTTTCCTATAAAACTTCGCCAGAAGTGAGGTAGCTGTTGTTCCGAAAAAATATAATTGATAACTTTAAAGTGTTAGATTGTGGTTTCGGCGTTTAATTCACACCGTTCCTCTATCACCTGTCCTTAATGCAAAAGAGTCGGGAAGTAATTAATACTCCTGTCTGATTGGTCATCGGTTAAAGCCGCTGACAAGAACACAATCCATTCTTGCTAGAAATTTCTCACAATTTTCACTCAACTTTATTTAATTTGTTTTCAGAGCTAATGTTTTCTTTTCAATTTTCCCCACAGCCGCCCAAAGATTATAAGCAGAAAAAGCCGCTCGTTATGAACATAGGGCTTAAATATCAAACTAAGAAGACACATTTCAACTTTCAACTCCGCAGGGAGTCTTGAGCGAGTTTTAATGACAATGCTACAGAGTTTTCTTGATCAAACAACGAAAAAAGGGAAGTGTCAAAAATTGCCTTTTGCCAAAAAAACGGAAGAGTTCGTAATTAAATGAGCAGACAAGTTAAGTAAATTGCTTAGGTTTTCATGATCAAAACGTGGTTTTGAGATCAAAAGTGAGAAAAAATTTGCAATTTTATTGTCTGAATTGTGTCGGATATCAACAAGAAAAAGGTGCGAGCAAACCAATTTTGGGTTGAATTTTTCATCTGCGAAAACCACTCTTTTGGCACAATATGTAGGAAAGATTTTAAAATTCAAACGAGTATTGGGCAAGAATCAGATATTATACGACCAATCTTCCAACAATCAGAGATTTTAAAATTACATAGAAAATAGCCTTTTATTTGCATTAGGATGGTTAGTGCTTGCATTTGGAAGCCATAATTTTCAAACATTTGTAAATAGAATAGTCTTCTTTAATTTTACTGTTAAAAGAACTGAAATGTCGTACTTTGTGCCGAGTCCAAGCTTGGCGCTATAAACATGGTTTTGTTCTTTTAGATATATATCTATATATTTTTTTTTCATCTCAAAAGCTCAAAATCATGCTGGAAAAAAACATAATTTGCAAACTCTTACTTTTTTAACCCTTCACATCCTGAAATCAGTCTCCGCACTATTCCCTGTACATTTCCTATGGTACTACCAACAATAATTTGTTCACCAGTCGAGAGCTTCTCTCGGTCGGTGATCATTTCCTTTATTCTCGTGCCCTTAGTGTTTTATCCAGCGGTGATATTGTAAGGAGAAATTAGATGCTGGTCTCTTTAAACTGTTACAGAAACCTTTACATGCATTTTTATTTCAAAGTAAATGCAGGGTAATAAGACCTTCTCTACTGCATACGAGTTCATACAAATCATACGGGGTCACAGTTTGAACAAAATGTAAAAAAAATAGTCGCAAACCAGAGAACGATTTATGGCGCACCTTTGGGTAAACACTCTACCTCAAGCTAAGCAAATAATGAAAATAAGGAAACGTAAACAGAGATCACAAGATGGCAATTGTTTCCTTTTATATCTTTAAATCAAAGTTTTTTTTCTTATTTTGTACGCTGAAATGACTATAAGAATATTTTTATTGTTCCTAATTTAGGGTTCCATTGACAGGCACGTTCGTTCGTTTATCATTCAGATGAAGAGGAATTTCCAGAAAAAAAAATTGATGATAACGCCTGCCATAAATTTATTAATTTTTTTAAACCTGGAATTAATTTTCGCTTAATTACATCACAATGAGCTTTGTAATAGATTATAAGCCGCAATATCTAAAAAAGAAATACCGAGTAAAATCGTTTTGTTTTTTCTTATCTACATTAAAAAAATAATGCACAAATTTAATCAAGCAGAGGGTATTGTTGGCAGTGAATTTTGATTTCAATTGTGATTCCTCTCTATTTTGACATCTTAGAGTAGATATAATTTTTTGCGCAATTTTTACAGATTTATAATGGTAATTTAACTGAGTAGAGTTTATTTTGATCTGAAATCACAAGTATGATTTCAGACCAAAATTGCACAACACAAAGTAAATACATTTTGAAACGGTAAAATTCAGTCGCTCAGATACAGGATCTCTTGGTGGTACAAATATTTTGGTTATCCAGTTGTAAGCGAGTTTGTAGAAAGTTGCATAAGTTGTTTTTTCGATTTTCCTCTAATTAGTTTGGTTTTTTTAAACAAGCAATTGGTTGTTGCACTTTAGTAAAGCTTTCTCGTTGGTCATAGAAAAAAGATGCGATTTAGAGCTAAGAATGGTGAGATTTGTGAATAAAGCCCACCATTGGGAGCCAATCAGATAACAAGGTTCGCTAGAGATTTCAAAATGGACGTAATAAATTGATTTGTAGCACTGTTTATGGTGCAGGTAGTTCTAACTCTGCGGCTACCAACCAATGCTATTGAGTGTTTTCGTTTATTATGTTGAACAAAGCGTTTCCAATCTCATCAGTTTATGAATGAAATTTTAAGATGAACATTTAAAAACAGCGCTATTGAGCAGTGCTTTCGTATGATACTGTTTATTACGCTGTACATGAAACAAGGTGGTTCTAACTTTTAAGCACGTGGATGAAATGCCAGCGTGTGACCCTCCAAATGAAGGTTCCTTTAGGAGCAGTACCTTCATGTGGTATTGTTCACAATGCTGCACGAGGTAGTTCTAAGCCCGTGAATCAAACCCTGTGTGTGACCATTCATACGAAAGCTACTGGTCAGTACATTAATTTGCTGCAGTTTATTACACTGTACAAGGTAGGTAAAATTCTTCATTCGCTAGATCATAATGATGAGTAAACATGAATCACTGATGACTTTTAATTGTATCCTGTTCATCTTTCAAAACATATTTTATAATTTCGTGGTAGACTCATCTCTTGTGGCCTATTCTTGCCTTGCTTTACCTTCATATCTCTCATATACTCTTAAAATTTGTTAATCACCGAGTCATTGCTTGTATTTTCTCCTTTTCTGTTACGCTTGGTGGCGTTTTGGCTTCTTTTCATACGTAATCTAAAACATAAAACAGACGTATAAACAGTTAAATGAATAAACGAGGTAAGTTCCTAGAGAAACTGTTATGCTGCGTTGATGGAAGGTATTACAAGATAATTTAATTTCATCAGCGGCGTTGATAATGTAAATTGTTCTGATTGATCGTTCCAATAACTCTACTTTTCATTTTTCGACACTCCATCAAAACCCGTTCTAAGAGAAACTACCTTCTCTCTGATAAGACCCTTGATTTATTTGCTCGTTGAACGACAGCTCAATCCGCTCTGGATACACGTATCGAAATCTCTCTCGAGGCTCCTTACTTCTTTTATCATGCTTAGGTTGATTGGTTTCTGTAAATGAATGAAAAATGAAACTTTAATACAAATCTGACATGACCGAAAATAACACATCACTTAAAATCATATCCCTTCAAAAGATGTTTTCAAATCAAATATTGCAGAGGTATGCCCAAGAGAATATAACTAAAGGAAACGTGAAGAAAGTAAGGAGCACAATCCTTTTTTAGAGCATGCATTATGAGTAGAACAAGCCATCAAAGAATCTTTGTTAAAATAAGTAAACATAAAAGAGGAAAGAAGAAAAATAAAAAGGGAGATAATTGTTAGAGATAGCAATGATCGATACATGTTACAAATAATTAACTTGAATAATCTTGGCTACTTTATTTACGAGCCTAGGAACCGTGATTCCATTCACGTAAGACAAGTCGACTGAAAGGGCCAAGGGTTAGGTTGGGGATTTGAGGAATATATATGATGGACATTTCTTAATAAAGCTGAAACTTGGAAGTAACGATATTTCTTCGACAAATAGTATTCTGTACCCGCTATCGTGTAAGCCTTAGACATCAGCAACGGCATCGGCAGCAACAACATCAAAACAAAAACAACGACAACAAAGCAAAAACAGCAATAACAACTGAGGAAAAACACTGACTTCTAATATCATGCTCAGAGGAGGCTCGCTCCAGTCCATCAAGGTCAATTCCCGAGGCCTGGCTGTAGTCTCTGCAGCTTACTGACCGTCGTCTGGTGGGAACCTGGTTCTTAAAGTCAAGTCGGATTTTGCGCTTTTTCTTTTGCACAGAGCCCACACTATTGCAGCGACGAAACTCCTCGCTGAGACCTGAAAAAAAATTGGTAATCTTCGTTGGAACCAAGACAGGACCAATTCTCAAGGCGTATTTCTTGATTCATCAATCTTAGACTATCTTTCAATCACCCCCAAATTCTGACATCAAAGCAGGATTGCAAACAGGGTGTGGCCGATGGGTGCATCTCCTCCCATTCCACCTTTGTCATAACAAAGTGGAAAATCGGATACAACCCCAAACAGCCTTACATGCCCCAAACGACAAATACAACGCTATTGGAGCACTCTCGAGAACTTCGAGTCGAGAACTTCCTGCCCATGTCCCTCCATGTGCGTATTGCAAAGTGGCTAGAATAATTTTCTCGGTGCAACACCAAAAACTTTACCTCCATCGTCTTCAAGAGCATGGTTGATGTAGGACGTTTTGGTTTTGGGTGAGCACAGAGATGAATGCAGAGAAGGAATACGTCCAATCTTCAGCTTGACAGTTCCGTAAACACGCTAGGTAGGATTAAAACGAAATATGATCATCCTGATACAATCTTTGAACGCAATAAAATGTTTTTATTGTTCATTGCGATTAACCCTCATGCAGTCTAATAAAAGCTCTCAGTAAAGTGTCCCAAGACCCGCTATAGTTAATGAAAATATATAACTTTTAAATAACTTATTACTATTATTATGACCAACTTACGCCACTCGAGTCTTAGAGCCATTAACATTATAGCTTAACTGACCAATCAGTTTACCGGACTTAGTACATTCGACTGACAACGATTATTCACTTGACTCTGATGATAACTTTCACTCAGGTTGTGGAAATTTCAGTCACTATTATCGACAACGGTACCTCTCAGGACTACGCTCATTGGGACGATCATTCTATACCATCACTATTGTTAGTATTAAAAGGAAAAATCTTTCAGATAGATAAGATAATCTTTCTCAAGGTACCCGTCTCAACCCAGTGGTATAAATGATTCTCATGTAACTTTTAATGATGTGGGATAAAAAGCGATGTACATCCCATCCAACAGAAATGGTTATACTCTTAAACAAACCATACCACAGAAACCAGGATAAGCTAAAACAACCTCCCAAATCAGCCTCGTAAGAAGATTTTACTTTCCATATTTAGTCTGAGTACCAGGCCTTCCAGTGGAAGGGGAAGTGGAGACAAACGAGAGCATGAGGAAGGGCTTTTCTAC